GTTGACGCCGTCGCCGTCGCCGCCGCCGTCACCGGAAAAGCGGCGCCTATGTCTCGCTTTTTGCTACGCAGGCGAGACAAAAATGCTCATCTGACCGTAATTAAATGCCTAAAACCCCAGAGCTTCCAGGGGCTCTGCCCCCTGGACCCCACCAAGGGCTCTAAGGTGGGCCCCTGGATGCTCAGCTCATCTGACCGTAACTAGATACCTAAAACCTCTGAGCTTCCGGGTGCTCTGCCCCCTGGACCCCACCAAGGGCTCTAGGGCGGGCCCCTGGATGCTGATCTGACCGTAATTAAATATCTAAAACTCCTGAGCTTCCGGGGGCTCTGCCCCCTGGACCCCACCAAGGGCCCGAAGGCGGCCCCTGGATGCTCATCTGACCATAGTTAAATATTGAGAGAGAGAGAGAGAGAGAGAGAGAGTGAAAGAGTGAAAGAAAGAAAGAGGGAAAGGTGGAAAAAATATTATTATTCTGATTGCAACAAATTAAAGTTTTCTCAGTCTGTTTGTATATACAAAACTGAAACGCTTTCTTCTGTTTAAACTTTAGTGAGGCTGTGAGGCAGAGCGTTGATAAGCCACCTTCATTTATTCGTCTGCTAAAGAATTTTGTACATTTCGATTCACCACTGTAAATACTTGTAACTATATTTGTGCATTTAGATGATGAATGCAAGTATAACTACTTTTTAGTTTTTAAGGGTTTACTCTTTAGGCCACTGCTATTTCTAATAAAATATATATATAACTCGTAAGAGATTGGTATATTTTATTCGAATCTTACATGTCGGAATTAAAAGAAATAACACAGGAATGCGTGAGTGTCATCATTTGATGTTTAACTTTTATTTTGAGCAAATTTCATACATTCTCATTAGACATAATTGGAATACTGAGGTAGCCTTCTTGGTTTTTCGTGATAGTGTAGACAATTTCTTTTTGATTGTTAACCATATTGTGTATGTTGCAGCAGGGCGTCATTAATTTATTATAAACCAGATTTTTTTTTAAACTGAATGAACTACCTTGCTTTCTTAATAGGACATAAATAAATAAATTAATTAATTAATTAATAACTTGCCAAAATAAATCACCTTTACTATATGTATCAAAAAATATTCAGTCCAAAGCAGATTAGCGGCAAAATGGAAATGAAAGGAAACGGTGTTCTTAACTCTGATACCCTCACCTCTTCATTCTATCACATTTTGGAAATATGTCAACCTCCAAATCACAAACCGCTTTGCGTGGATTAATACATGATAGTAGTAATTAACTTTAAGGAATTTTCCTTGTTTCTTTTGTTAGATCAATGAAGGATTAGCATGATTGGTGGGAGATCTTACAAGTATAAAAACCTTCAATTTCATTCTGAAGCGAGAGGAAGAATCACATTACTATTGAAATTATTGCATTTGAAACAACAACAAAATTGTGTTGATTCTAATATTACTGGTTATAAATCCTTTCTGTTCAGCATTGCTCTTGATCGGTGGTTTACTCATGTGATGGAAGTTTGTGCATTAAAATAATGAAACTGATTTATTATCTTTCAGCCAAGTAACCCTTTTAAACACCAAGTCAAAATAAAAACATCTAATATAAATAGAGCATTGCATGACCATCACAAAATGGTATATTATGACTTGTTTACCAACAACAATTTGGACTACATTGTACATAATTTAAAACAGCAAGCAGTTTTAGGCTCCATCATAAGCAATAATTAACCACGTCTAAAACTCAATCACTACTTGGATATATATGATATGCATAACAAAGAAAATAACATAATAGCTTAGCATTTATGTATAAAGACATTGATTACGTTTTTACCAAATTATGTAGATAATAATAAAAAATAAAAATAGATTATAAAACATAGTACCATTTAAAAAGGAACTCGTAATAATAGAGCCCAATTCAACCATTCATGAATAATCACTACACACAATCTGTGACTCAAGCAGTGGCGGATCCAGGGGGGGGGGGGGGGGAGCCCGGCCCCCCCCCCCCTCCTGGGAAAAAAAATGTGTAAAAACACATGAGTTTTTACCTTTTGGGGGGATGGGCCCCCCCCCCCCTGGCGCTAAAGGGGGGGGGGGTGCAAATTTTTAAATTTTTAAGGGCAAAAAAAAAAAAATGTGCTCACTACCCCCCCCCCCCCCTACATGTACATGTATTATGTAACAACTAATACTCCACCACTACAAGTACTTTGCAAAACAAGATATTAAGAAAGGACTTTGGTTCAACATATAATAAATACTGGCTATTTACATCTTCCAATACATTTCCATAAATCCATCACTGACCATTAACCTCTGACTTAATATAATGTTTGAATAATTATAGTATTTTCAATTTACTGGTGATTACACATATAAAATAATAAAGCTTTGATTTTATTCATACACAGTACTATAGCACTATAGTAAAACAAAAAATAGTCCAACAATAATCCAAATTCAAACAATGTATCTTTCCATAAGTGTTGACATAAAGAGTGATGGTGGGAATGGCATGCTGTTTCATATTAAACAGAAATAACTTGAATAACACATCCAGTAGTTAGTTACTTTACTTTCATCTTCTTTATATCATCATACACAATATAATATAATGAAAATTGTAGGCCAATGTACAAATAAAACTTACCTTATCTAGTTACATATCACTATCTATCTTCCTAACCATAAAATACATGTTACACTCAGTAACAAAAAATAACTAGCATTGTTAGGCATAAAATATATATTCCTAAAACCATACTTTAAAAAACAAAAAGGCATTAACTGTCTGTAAAATTATACAAGTAAACACACTACTGGCTCAAAACAGATTAGCTTGTAAGGCATTTCAGATAGTTTGAAGTATTATCTAAACCAAACCCTTTACTTGTTATATGTCCATATGGTGTGGTGTTAAAACATAAAAATCTGTTTGTCGTCTAATCTTACATGTTCATATATGTGGACATAATTTAAATGCAAGTACATGTATTTACAGTTCCAGCAACAGAAAACAGAAACCCACTTTACATAATATTCTCTACTTTGAAAGGCATTTGAGGCAGTGTTGAAGTACATGTATTATCTAACCGGAATCCCTTTGGTATTTTATGTCCATATAGTATGGCATTTAAATTACGTTTTGTCCAAACCCAATCAAATATACATATATATATATATATATATATACATGTTTTTGACATACATTAAATTCAAGTATTTACAGCTTTAGCAGCAGAAAACAGAAACAGAAACCCATTTAAAATGAATATCCTATATATCTTCTATTTTTTTTAAAGTAATGGTAAACTTTTATATACATGATTTGAAACCAGAATGAAGACTATCAATCAATGAAAAAACAAATTATATACAGATAGTTCTAAAATTGGAACCAATTGGATTGGTCCCTAAAATGTCACTGAAATACAACATACTCCACTGCTCTATCTATCTCCGACAGAGACTAATAACTTTCTCCCATGGCAAGGCATTCATTTAAATTTGGCACTCTTGACCCTGCACTAAACAGCGACTAACTGCTCTTAAAGGGACTATGTCCCATTTGCAGGCCAAAAAAATGAAAAAGTTAAATTCCAACTGCATTTGAAATATAATACTAATTTAGAACTTCCCTAAAAAAGATGGGGCTTGAAAATGTCTTCAAGTGGGAAAATAACAACTATTAGTTGTCAAATCGACTTTAGGGCTATAGAGCCCAAAAGTAATAGTCTTGATTTTCAGACAATTGTACAGAATGGTCATACGTTTTATGCTGCGCAAAGATTCAATCAGTTTAATCTTGGCCATCACAAGAAGTGGGTTATTGATGTAGACAAATGCTCATGTACCCTTTACAACTCTTTTCATGTATGTTATTACCAAAGAAGAAAAAAGCCAGTCAGTCACTCAATAGTGTCTGACAGTGAAGTCTAGCAAGTAAACGGTTTTCCTTGCATTAATTGAATATGAGGACACTGCTAACGTTTAAATTTCACAGATAGGACATACATGACATATTCATAATTCCTGCAAAGTTCTACAGCATTTGAGATTGGCTGCAAAAGGGACATAGTACCTTTAAACCAGAAACTATTGTGTATGGTTAACAACTAAATTATTCATACCCTTACAACTTTTTGTTAGTACATAGGTAAAAAATTGATTTATATTTCTCGAGAATGTGATATATTAAAGCTTACATCTAAAAGAATTCAACAAAGAGCCTCATTCTTTTAAACAAATCCACCTTTCATTCTTGAGTTACCTAAAACACACCAAAAAAAACAATAAGGAAAGGTTTGTAAATTTCAGAATCGCATAAGTTCTGTTCCACAAATTGGTTGAATCACTATCGCCATACAAATGTGGAGGTGTCGTAGTATAGAGGTGGATTAACTTGACTCTCAATCCAAGGGATGAGGGTTCAAATCCAAGCATGGTACTAGCATCCTTTGGCAAGACATTAACCCATATCTGGCACTCTCCACCCAGGTGGGAATGGGTACCTGGCAACTGATGGGGTATTAATAATTGCAGGGTCTCGAGAAGATGAACGGCATTAAAGTTGGTGAAGCTAATTCCATGGGTACACAAATTATTATTACCCAAATTATCATTATTAACACTGAATCATTACAATTCAATTAATTTTTTTCCTATAAAAATATGTGTCCTTTCATGTTGCATAAGATTCTGGCTGTACAGTATCTCATTCTATTTGCATTATGCAGAGTAGATCCTCTTTCTTCCGCTATATCTGTCAGTGATGTTTTCCCGAAGCCTTCTCCTATGTTGAGTGTAGACGTCGCCTATACCACATGTATGCAAGATATAAAGAAAGAAACTTTCTGAGGCATTTATACCCCATGTATAGTGTATTTGTATACTACACAAATTGTCATAACTGAAGGGATTGTCTTTGTTTAAATGAATGCGTAAAAATGACTTCATTTTTCTAACGCGTACTTCACAATGGACAGCTGTTAAAATTGACTATAGGTGAACATATATCTTTTTGTTTGTTAATATGTCTGTTTAAACAAAAAATAATGTATCACCTTTGTTTCCCTTAATTTGTTGTCCTCTTAATCTAAATGACTTATGAATGAATGTGGTGGGTCGATCAATGGTTCACTGCCTCTTAAATTAACCACATGTACTTGACTACAAGTACTACAACACAAAATGCTGTATCTATGGACCTCCCTCCCTGCCCATGTACGTTAAACATCTTGGAAGTGATGGCTAAATTAGATACATACCGTCTCGGAGTTCTGTCTGTAGAACGAAGGCTATGCCAGTTACTGATCTTAGAACTGCCTCCAACCTCAGACAGAGATCGTAGGAGTTGAGGCCTGAAAGAAAGATAATGGGTCAACTAGCTCAGGCTTATTGAAATTGAATCAAGGACTGATATACAATCCTCATTTAGAAGTATTTCTTGTTGACAAGCGATCAGAGCATTTAAAAATATTTTTGTGTGTGTGGGTGTGTGTGTGTTACAAAGCCCATTATGTAATTCCTAATTCTTTGGTATAAACAAGGCCATTTGTAAAAGCATATTACATGTGTTCTGTTTCCTTCATATACAGTGCGTCCCAGATAAAACGAAACCGAGAATTATCGATGTTTTATCATAACTTGATCACAATTATAATTGATAAATGACACATATTTGGAAAGCCAACTTTCTAGAAATGTGATTTTCTCTTTGAAATTCATATATCGCCTGCCAAACGACTTTTCGGTTCCCTCTCTTCAAATTGATTTTAATCACTCATGCATGAAATATGCATCAAATGAAAGAGGAGGATCTAAGCTTTCCAAATATGTGTCATTTATCAATTATAAATGTGATCAAGTTATGATAAAACATTGATAATTATCGGTTTCATTTTTTCTGGGACGCACTGTATAAAAATTTCACAATACTGGTCATAACCTACTCAGATCTCAATGCAGCCATGGGTGGAGTCCTTCGACTTTGTAAATTAGAAGAAAAAAAACGGTGTAAGGCTTAATAAATCACCAGCTTGAGATCAAGCCAAAATAACTCTAATGTTTGAATCTAATAAACAAAATATCTGCTGATACTTATCTGAGAATATTGTGTGCAGAAAAGCTAATAACAAAGACTTGCAATCAAGTAAATTATTGAATTGACGGGAGATCGAGGAGAGGGGAGGTTTCTCCATTCCATCACCAACCCTCCATCACTGTCCCAAAATAATGTATCATCTTTAATTGTTTGCCTTAATTTTTTGTCCTCTTAATCTAAATGACTGACGAATGTGGTGGGTCAATCAATGGTTCACTGCCTCTCAAATTAACCACATGTACTTGACTACAAATACTACAACACAAAATGCTGTATCTATGAACCTCCCTCCCTGCCCACGTACGTTAAACATCTTGGAAGTGATGGCTAAATTAGATACATACCGTCTCGGAGTTCTGTCTGTAGAACGAAGGCTATGCCAGTTACTGATCTTAGAACTGCCTCCAACCTCAGATAGAGATCGTAGGAGTTGAGGCCTGAAAGAAAGATAATGGGTCAACTAGCTCAGGCTTATTGAAATTGAATCAAGGACTGATATATAATCCTCATTTAGAAGTATTTCTTGGTGACAAGCGATCAGAGCATTTTAAATATTTGTGTGTGTGTCGGTGTGTGTGTGTTGCAAAGCCCATTATGTAATTTCTGATTCTCTGGTATAAACAAGACCATTCATAAAAGCATAGCACATGTGTTTTGTTTCCTTCATATATAACAATTTCACCACGGTCTCTTTCACAGAGAATAATGAATATGGGATTGACAATGAACTAACAGAATTTCTTTGTCAAAAAAGAAACAAACGCGTATCATGATGGTATGGAGGTTCCACTTACTTTCGTGAAGCACCATTATGAGGAGCACTCTCAGTGCTGGCAAGGGTAGCAGGGTGGGAGAAATCATCAGAACTAGAGGAGTATGTAACCTTCTCAGATCTCAATGCAGCCATGGGTGGAGTCCTTCGACTTTAATCAGAAGAACAAAAAACGGGGTAAGGCTTAAAGTAGATATTCATTGATTTTAAAAACTAACTTTATTTTCATGATTGCAAAGTTGAAACTTTGATTTGACAAGGTTATCAAACTTCAATGCTTGAAAACATTCAAAGTAATGATTATCATAAATTACAAAATGCTTAAATACAGCCCCGGCATAGCACCTGAAGAGCTCTCCGAACGCTGCTGAGATGTGTGGGATCACAGTATGGACATGATTTGCACAAGCAGACGATGTCCCATGACATCTCACACATTTTCAGTGCCTGTGTTTTCATCTTCTTTTGAGTTCTTTCTCTTACTTCACTACCGGCAGGCTAAATGTATAATCTATTGCTTCACTCTAAACCCCGCGTATGGTTTTATTTTGATGACAAATGCAGTGATACAAAAATAAAGTAATTTGTCGCTTGTTGACAAAATAAGACGCCATTGTATATTCAGCTGCACACACCCCGGTATGTTCGGCGTTTCAAGAGGGAATAAATGCCGTCCTTAATATCATTCCGGGGGTTTTTCAATTTGAAAGTCTGGTTTCTTTGATTGTTAATTAACCCCTATCCTGTGTATTAACAAGCAAAAGATTTTAGTTATCAGAATCGGGTCATATCCCCTTTGACATGCCATTACATTTATATACACTAAACTCATTATAATTTGACAAATATTAGCTTTGCAATTATGTTCATTCTTTATGGGATGTCGTCTGCTTGGGCAGTATTGGTCCATATAATGACGTCATTAAAACATTGTTATTTTTCCGGCGAATCTCTTGTATCCCAGCTGCTATGGAGGTGGTTGTATTTGTATTTATATAAATCACCCGATATGTTGTTGACCTAAACCTTGTACGATGTCCATCTGTTAGCTTACCAGTTTCTAGTGATACATTAGTTGACATAATTGTGATTTTCTTTGAATTTCACCTTTAATAAATCACCAGCTTGAGATCAAGCCAAAATAACTCTAATGTTTGAATCTAATAAACAAAATATCTGCTGATACTTATCTGAGAATATTGTGTGCAGAAAAAGTAATAACAAAGACTTGCAATCAAGTAAATTATTCAATTGACGGGAGATCGAGGAGAGGAGGTTTCTCCATTCCATCACCAACCCTCCATCACCCTCCTATAATAATGTATCATCTTTGTTTGCCTTCATTTTTTGTCCTCTTAATCTAAATGACTTATGAATGTGGTGGGTCGACCAATGGTTCACTGCCTCTCAAATTAACCACATGTACTTGACTACAAATACTACAACAAAAAATGCTGAATGACTATGACCATGTATGTTGGACATCTTGGAAGGAATGGCTAAATTAGATACATACCGTCTCGGAGTTCTGTCTGTAGAACGAAGGCTATGCCATTTACTGATTTCAGAACTGCATCCAACCTCAGATAGAGATCGTAGGAATTGAGGCCTGAAAGAAAGAATGGGTCAACTAGCTCAGGCTTATTGTATTCATTCTCACAAAAAAGATAGATAAAATTAAAATGAAATTGAATCAAGGACTGATATAACCCTCACGTAGAAGTATTTCTTGTTGACAAGCGATCAGAGAATTTAAAAATGTTCGTGTGTGTGGGTGTGTGTGTGTTGCAAAGCCCATTCTGTAATTTCTGATTCTCTGGTATAAACAAGGCCATTCATAAAAGCATCACATTTGTTCTGTTTCCTTCATGTATGACAATTTCACAATACTGGTCTCTTTCACAGAGAATAATTAAAGATTAAAGGTTCAAATTTTATTGTCCAGGTTAAAACACACAGAAAGTTGGCCTCCACTGGCATGAGATAACAATGAATAACATAAGAATACATAAATGTGCACGAAACAAAAACATCAATTAGATTAACAAACAGTTGAATACATTCTGACAAAAGTAAAGACCTACGCTATGGAAGAGGAGATAGCAGAGAGCCCGAGGGGAAGAGAGAATAAAAACCGCTTGCATAACACGATATTATGACTCCGCTTTACTAAAGGTAAACAGTTAAAAAGAATGATGAATCTGGGATTGACAATTAACTAACAGAAATTCTTTGTCAAAAACAAACATATGCATATCATGATGGTATAAAGGTTCCACTTACGATTGTGGAGCATCATCACAAGGAGCACTCTCGGTGCTGGCAAGGGTAGCAGGCTTGGAGAAATCGTCAGAATCAGAGGATGTACCCTTCTCAGATCTCAATGCAGCCATGGGTGGAGTCCTTTGTATTAAATAGGTAAATACAAACTAACGTATGAATCTTACAAACAAAATATCTGCTAATACATCTCAGAGAATATTGTTCGCAGAAAAGCTTATTAATTAGGAAGACTTACAATCAAGTAAATTGTCAGGAAATGAATAGGTTATGGGCTTGATCACAGTATGGCATTAATATCCTAGTAAAGAATTAATCTACATTTGCCACTCCATACCCTGGAGAGAAATGAGAACTTGTATGATGACAAAAGCCTTTGTGCTGCCCTCAAGGTCATCATATGATAGAAATACTACCCAAGGAGTGGACATGGTGCACACTGTGTGTGAACGAATCCAATCACTGGGGTAATAGTAATATATGTAAAATGCTTAAAATGGTATTTTGTTTTAAAGGCCCACAGCACTACTGGTAGCTACTTGCGCCCTCTATATAACAAACAATGCCTAATCGGTGACCATTGGTCCCCCATGATCCTCTTTTTCTTATGTTAACTGAGAGCTGAGTTGATGAGATAACCACCTGTCCAGTGACCTTGCAGAGCGGTCTAATCCCTCCTGTAAACTACGGCAGATAAGCTTTAGTGCTATATAAATCTAGAATTGTTTATCAACAAAATTCTATATACTTACACTTTTGAGTCTTTAGCATTTGAAGCATTCTCGGTGCTAGCTAGTGTTCCAGGCTGAGACATGATGTTAGACTGGGAGGATTTGGTGTCTCCTGAAGTCCTTTTTAAAGACAAGGACGAATTTGGTCAACCAAGAAGATCAAATCAAATCTTAATAGAAAATAAAGCAACAGTCATCCTGAATTAGGTAGCTTAGCAAAAGTGTAGTGGCACAAAAATTCATTTCTCTGAGCTACCTCATAATAATTCTATTTTTTTCTGTATTCAACATAAATTAAACTGTCAAACGTAATGTGGAAAGTCAAAATTAAAGTAAATTCTTGGCCAAGAAAGTACAACTTCACTAAAAAAGCGTAGACTGCAATCCATATTTGAAAAGATGGATGTTGAAATTGTACATTATAACAAGATTTTGCATCAGTGTGCAACTTGAACCCATGAGCATGAAAGTCATGAGAGTCGACGGCGATCCTATCGCACCACAGAAAACAGTTATTATTATCAAAAACATAATATACACTTACCTTCCCTCAACTTCATCATTGGAATGTAAGCTGTGACACCCACTCATGTCTGAATTAGAACTTTCGGTGCTTAAAGTCCGTCCAGTCAAAGCAAAAGCCATAACACTGAAGAAAGAGAAACTTGCATATTACTTGCTGTAAAGAGAATTCAAAACAGTATAGTGTCCATCTCCAATTCGAACCCCCCATCTGTTAAACTCCATCCTGTATCACTTGGAGATTATTTTGCCAAAATAACAGACGGTTTCGTCGCAAAATGGGTAATTAACGACATAGAACCCAATTAAGATCAGATGCAGTTTGGAAACCCCCAAAACATGTCAACGTACGTCATACTGTATTATTAACATTCTACACAATGTGTTTGTTTATTCAGTCCAACCAAAATCCTCATCAACAATAGTTGCGACAGACTTTTCAAAGGCCTTTGCCATAACAAAACTTATCAGCTTAGGAGATCACCCCTGCATTGTGCCATGAATCATGAGTTTCTTGCAATCCGGCAACATGTACCTGTTACAGATTGGTTCTATCTGATTGGTCGATGTTGAAGACTGGAGTGCCACAGGGAAGTCGCTTAGGGCCCTTTGTCTTTCTAGCCATGATTAATGATGCAGAGCCATTGAGCGGCATAACAAGGTAATTTTTAGTTCTGTAAATGAATTTATAAGTTTCATAGTAGGAAACTTACAATGAATTTCTAAATATTCAAAATAATATTTGCTTAATAAACAATGATGAAATAGACAGAAACTGCCAAGAGTACATCTTCCACGAGTTTGCATACTTACTCCTTAATGGATAGTGAGTCAGGTTTCAACAAGTCTCTTCTTGGTGAACCATCAGGAGATGACCTGAAGGAAAGGAAACAAAATTTTGAAACACAGTCAATACATAGTCTGCTGATACAGACATTTTTTTGACAAAAAAATGCCATGAAGTCTTGAGCTGAGCTTAAAGGTAAAGACCAGTATTGGAAACGCCCCAATTTCAAAAAATGAAATGGAAGCTCTTATTACCAATCATGTGAAAGAATATGTTTTGACTACTACATGATGATACAAGTTTTGCAGGGAAACTGCCTACTAATTGATATATTTGGTAAATTAGTTTATCTATTGGTATGTGAGAGATAAACGCACGTGTCGCGTACGTTTGCGTAGTCCCATATACATCTTTCTGTGTACAGTGCTTGTAACTTTACAAAGACTGGGCCAAATTTCTTATCATTTTGATGACTCCAGAACCTTGCAGTACACACCAATACTTATATGCTAGATGATCCACCTTTTCTTATTCGATTCCACAAAGTTTCTTACACAATGCAATTGCATGACCAGAACTGGTCTTTATCTTTAACTGTTGTGACAACTAAGGCAAGAGCAGCTAGGGTACAAGACCTGTGAGGTGTAGTCTTTGGTCTGATATTTCAGACTCTGCCATTGGACTAAAATTACCTTATGCCTGGTAACAGAAAGAAGTAGATTACAGTCCCAGAGACTATATTTGATACTTGTATTTTATACAAGCATTAATCTACATTTGCCACTTCATACCCAAGGAGAGAAATGTAAACCTGGTAAGATGACAAAAGCCTTTGTGTTAGTAATTTCAATATGGCCTCTAGATGACCATTAGGAATACTCCCCAGGGAGTGGAGATGGAGCAACTTGTGCAAGAATGAATACAATGACCAGGGTAATAATATTTGTAAAGCACTTAGAGACGGTATTTTGTATTAAGCGCTATACAAATCCAGATTATCAATATCATTTAGATGCCACAATTATGAATAGTCAAATCCGATTTTGGAAAAATATTAAGGCTATTCTTCTTGAAGGAGATTGGAAGGACATAGTGACACAAGACTTGTCTTGTGATTGGTCAATAATTTGACGTCAATCTTGACATAGGTACTCCAAACTAAAAGTGACTTGAAGGCTGACAATGCTAAAACACAATGTTCAGCATTCACACCATCAGTTAGACTGTTAATTGGGACGACTAATATTTGTTTACATTCTTATGAAAATTGGATCAAAGTAATTGAGATTGGAAAGTGTGTATGAAGCCGAAAGGTTACCTTCTTTGAGCTCTGTCATTTGAATGAAGGCTGTGAAACCCACTTATGTTTGAATGAGATCCATCTGTGCTTCCACTGCTGGAAGATCCTTCTCCTTCTGTCGCTCCATTATGATTTCTGAAAAAGGAAAAATCTTGCTGGCATTTGTTTCATTATTCACACCAGAATGAAACCCAAGACTGCTTCATTATTTTGAATTCTTGGTACATGCAGTCTACATGACATGTGCCAAAAGTTGACTGTGGTGGTCCACTGCTTCTTCTATTAGTTGACGATAGTGGGGACAGAGTTAAAAGTTTTTTTTTTTTCCAGTTTAGTTTAATTTCGGATTTCACATTATATATACAAATCAATAAGTATGAAAAGAATTATACATTCAATAGGTGTAAATAATACATGCAATAATATCAGGCCATGAAAGTCTCTTCTTTTCTTGTCCCTTTCCACCTCTCCATTTCCGTCACTCTCTTTTCTCATTTTGGTCTTTCTCCCCTTTTAAAATGTTTTCACTACTCGATTGGGGTGGAAGAGGAGGCTTGTGACGTGTGCCCCCCCCCCCCAGTAGCTACACTGTTGGCAGCGTGTAAAATCAAGCTCAAGACATACATTGCCATAAACTTACACTTGAGACCCTCCATTGGAAGTGTCGGCTTCACAAACTGGCGGGTCCAGAGTAACAGTCCTGATGAGAAATTATTTTAAAAGACTGACATTAGTACAAAATATTGCATACCGTACCATTGCACTTGTCTTTTAGTAACGTGTGTAGAGCAAGCATATCGAATAGGCACTTTATATAACAAATATACCATGAATTGTTGTTATATTTACCTCGGTTTATATATTTAGTTGAATTGAACTCTGTAGCATTACATATTTGTACAATAACACATGATAGCACCTCAATACCTACCTCAATACCTACGTGATTGTTTGACCCTATACACCCCTAGCAGGTATCTACGAGCCTCCAGTGACCCACTCCGTCTTACATATAACATCACACATAAACTAGCTGGAGATAGGACTTTTACTATAACTGCATCTAAATATTGGAATAGGCTACCTTGAACACTCAGACAATCACCATCTGTCTCTTCATTCAAAAAGGAACTTAAAACATTTCTTTTTTGTAATCCAGATTTTTAGGATTATGTAAGTTTTCATTTTTATTTTGTGTATGATTCTTCTTGTTGTAAGCGCTTTGGGCCACTCTGGGAAAAGCGCGGTATATAAATAATAATAATAATAATAATAAATAATAGCAGGATCATGTAACCTCCCCAAGAGCCTATAAAAACAATTATGCCTCGAATATTAAAGCAGTCATTATAACTTTTATATACCGAAAAGGGTCATAGAATACATGTGCGACTTACCAATCATGGTATTCAAGTTTGTTTACGCTATCGAGGCCTAGTCTTAATAGGATATCCGATCGCGCACCACTCGAGTTTGTGTGCTAAAATCCTTCCCATTGAGATTGTGTGCATATACGTAAAATGACAAAACCAGTCAATAGTCTTTGGAAAAGAGCCCTAGGGCTTTTTTCAAAAGACTATTGACCGGTTTTCTAGCATTTTACGGGAATGGCTAAAATCATGACTCCAATTTCGACCAATCAGAAGGCTGGAATTCTAAAGTGAGGTATATAAATCAAGATTAATTGATCAACAAAGTTCTACTTACACTCTTGGGTCCTTCACATATGAAGCATCCTCGGTGCTAGCTAGTGTTCCAGGTCGAGACATGATGCTACACTGGGAGGATTTGTTGTCACCGGGAGTCCTTTTGAAATAAAAGGGTGAATTTGGTCAACCAAGATCAATCCAAATCTTAATTCTTAAATAAAATAAAGTTACAGTCATCCTGAATTAAGTAGCTTAGCGACATTTAATGGAATGGAAAAGGCATAATACTTAGTGATATGTGCCCATTAGAAGTACTTTTATAATATATTTGAATTTATAAGTTTAGGTTATGGCAGTGGCGGATCCAAGGGGGGGGGGGGGGGTGCGATTTTTCAAAAAAAATTTAGGACAAAAAAAAAAAAAAAATTAGTGCTCACTCCCCCCCCCCCCCCCCCCCCACTGAGCGAATTATCGGCCGGCTGTTTCGCCCTAAATATTTTCTCACAAATTGGGCCCCCTCCCCTGCCGCCAGCTGGATCTGCCCCTGGATTGTGGTCTTGACCTTATAAGAACTTTACATATGTAAATATTATTGTCTTAACTGTAGTCTGTGGCTTGAAGTCTGGCCTTTTATTCAATTTTTACTCATTTCTTTAGTGACACCTGTTACATTATTAGAGTGCCACACATAATTTCTTTTTCTGGCAAGGACATTCTAAAACTATTGTATTGAGATTTGCAGTTATTCTGGCAATCACATTCCACACCCATTGTGCTGGGATGTGCAACCACCCAATGTACTGGTATAGCATTATTACACTTGCTTTTGCCACACCCATATTCATCATTTCTCCTGAGCTGTTCTTATAGAGCACACATCTTTTAGAGAGAGTCTAAAGTCTACGTACACCATTTGACCAAAGCTAATTCAGCTTCATCATAATTCATGTCCTACTTCTTCGTTCAATTCTCTATTCAGTTCTAGGCCTAATTACTTTATTGAGATTATGAGTTTCTTCTCCCTTACTTCATCCGCAAAGAAGCGACATATAGTCTTACATATTCTTTATACGGGTACTGCGCATTATTTGAAAGACTACCTATCATTCACCTTGTGAGATAATTTGTCACAACAATTAGTGGCTCGAGCGCTAATTCTCGTGTCAGTTTCAACAGGTCTTGCTACGAGAAAAGGTAGAAAAGAAACCACTTTCTATTTCTTTTATTTTAGGTGACGAATTCCCTAAAATATAACATGTATTTATCATTCACTTTAAAAAAAAACTGTCAAATGTGCTATTTAAATCCAGATTTGTTAATGAACAAAATTCTACTTACACGTTTGAGTCCTTAGCATATGAAGCATCTTCAGTGCTGGCTAGTGTTCCAGGCTGAGACATGATGATGCTAGACTGGGAGGATTTGATGTCTCCTAAAGTCCTTTTGACATAAAAGGATGAATTTGGTGAACTAAGATGAATTCAAATCTGAAATAAAATACCAGATTCAACCAGCCCTTCCCCGATGTTTAGCTCTCTCATTTAGAATCCTGACTAACCCTGCTAAATTAGTAATTTCTCTGGTAATACTTTCTACATTCTCCTGTAAATTCACTGCTAAAGAAATACAATTCCCCAATCCTACATTCACTATGGCTGTATATCACAATTCAGTTCAGTTTGGATTACATGCAAGTGTACCTACAAACACCCTTAAAAGGACGCAGTGATGTTCATACAAATAAATAGTACGATTGTCAAAACATTAAATTTTCTTTCATTACTTCAATCACACGAAAATCAATAATTTTTTTTAAAATCCTACCTTTTCTGCGGCTTCTCATTAGAATGCAGGCTGTGAAACCCACTTATGTTTGAATGAGATTCATCTGTGCTTCCACTGCTGGAAGATCCTTCTCCTCCTGTTGCTTCATTCTGATTCCTGAAAGAGGAAATATCTTGCTGACATTAGTTTCGTTATTAACTTTTATTAGCAACAGAATGAAACCCAAGACTGCTTTATTGTTTTGAGTTCCTGGTACATACACAGTCTACATAACATATGCTACAGGTTTACTGTGGTGGTCCACTGCTTGTTCTCTAAGTTGATGATAGCGGGTCAGAGTTAAAAGTATTATTATTGTTCCAGTTTAGTTTAATTTCATATTTCACATTCACATTAATTTCATAAATCATAAGCAATAACAATTGGAATATAAACAATAGTTCTTTGAATAGGTGTTTAAAAATACATACAATATTATCAGGCCATGGAAGTCTTTTCTTTTCACAACATCAGTTTAATAGACCCTTAATTAAAGCCAAAGTAGGTTACCTTCTTTGAGCTTTGTCGTTTGAATGAAGGCTCTGGAAGCCACTCATGTCTGAATTTGAATGAGGCCCATCTGTGCTTCCCATGCTGGAATAAAAAATTATATGCAAATATAAGCCCATGCTTAGCTTCATGGCATTAATCAAAATATTTTAAGAGAAGGTTGAGTTCTGGGAAGAGGTGAAAAATAACTTGTGAGCGTTATCATTCTTATTATGCAAGTGTGGAAGAATATCAGATAAGACATGTTCCCTGAAAAGTATGGCTCTTCAAATGCCTTCATATTCTAAATATGTCATGTAACATTGTAAAACTCGGGGGTAGGATTTTTTACACCACGTGTTCGTGTAGTCCCATATACATCTTTCTGTGTACAGTGTTTGTAACTTTACCAATATTTGGCCAAATTTCTTATCATTTTGATGATTCCAGAACCTTGCAATACACACAAATTCTTATATGCTAGATGATCAACCTTTTCTGGTTGATTCCACACCGTTTCTTTCACAATGCAATCGCATGACCAGAACTCAACTTCATCTTTGAGCTACATCGATTTTCAAATTAGTCATGATATATCTACAAATGAAAAGAAATTTGTGGGATTATGCATTTATTAGAAGATCAATGTGTTTATACAAAAACAGAAACCATTGTTGCATACTTGAGCTCAGGAAAGTCCACAGTCCTCCCCCACCCTTTACCCATTTATATTGTTATCAAAGCACATACAAGGGTGTTAGATCGTTACAAAATCTAAAACGATTTGGAGTTGTTGATGACATTACTGGTATATTTCGTAGAAATCAAATGCTAAAATATATCTTCAAGAAATACATATCATACAGATATACATTGTATCTGCAAATATAACTTTTTGAGCTTTTATAAAAAGAATGGGGAAAAAAAGAGTTATTTCATAAGAACGCATTGAACTCCATAATCACTTACCTAAAACGATTTGGAGTTGTTGATGACATTACTGGTATATTTCGTAGAAATCAAATGCTAAAATATATCTTCAAGAAATACATATCATACAGATATACATTGTATCTACAAATATAACATTTTGAGCTTTTATAAAAAAATGGGGAAAAAAGAGTTATTTCATAAGAACGCAATGAACTCCATAATCACTTACCATGTATTTATATGAGCCCAGTACTCTACATTCGAAGGGTTAAAAAGACAAAAGGAGGTACAGGAGGATATTATTATGTACTTGTTTGAACTTTCACACAGTATTAAACAACTATTCATTCAAACTCTTTGTAAACATATTATGAATCAAATAGGCATAAAATGACAGTATTTTAATTGGCATCATTAATTAATCATCATGTTATGGATATCTCATGCAGTAGGTGCATTTTTTGTATAATTTAAAATCAATTTTTCTCATGGTTACATTATACATGTATCATATGGTAAAAAAACAAAAAAACAAGCAAGCAATATAGGTTGCTTACTATGCAGTAAAAGCAAAGGGCAAACAAAAGACAAAGAGACATAGAAACATAAAGAGAGAGGGAGAGGGAGATCAAAGGGGAGATTTATACTATACACATACATGCCAACATTTGAAAATCAGAAATCTGTACAAATTATGCTATTTTCAAAAAAAAGAGGAACAATCCTAACTCTCCTATTCAATACTACAGACAAATTTGTACAGGAAGAGGAACCCCTGCATTAAAATGATAATTATCTTCTCCCAAAAGAGGAATGTTCCTCTTTAATCTGAACAGTTGGCATGTATGTATACATGCATCTGTATAAACCTCAGAAAAGGAAAGTGATAAAGTATAAACCTCAGAAAAAGAAAGTGATAATGTCGGAACAAAATGCCAGGTTTTAACTAATAAAGCCACAGGATTAAACAATAAACTATATTTTAGACAGATGACTATATCATTATTCCCTCAAGCTGGTCCTTTCCAAATAAGGTAGGGTTGGATAACTTTTATCAAACTCAGGAAAATCTGGTATAAAAAGCTAATGCACTTAAATAGGACCCAATAAACTATTTGAAACTATGAAAATTAAGCTTTTTAAATATACCTCGGAAATGGAAAGTGATTGAGCAGGAACAATACCATAAGCCAGGTTTTAGGAAAATTTGGATGTCCAAAACAGCATTCCTGACAGCATGACTCAATGGGTAACTGATGGCCCTAGAAATTGGGTACTCATGTCCAGGAAGACACTAGTGCTCATGATAAAGATACTCAGATATCCCAGTCCCTCGGATAGAACTTAAACCGGTTCGTCCCCTGGAGCTTACTCACAAGCACAAACTTGCTTTTTTGCACATGGGTATTAAAAATAAAGCAATTAATAAATCAAGTAGTTTTCAGGGTTGAAAAAATAAACAAGTAAAAAAAAATGTAGTTTAACAAAAACAAAAATCATTCATTGAGAAATTATTTCTTGTAAAGGACATGCTGTAAATTGATTACGCCTTCTTTCATAACTAAACTAACTATAGCTATGTTTGGAATTGTGCATGAGTTAATACCTTAAAACTACCAGCTCTCTGTTAAACTTTGAGCTATTTTATTTTCAATTTATCCTGATTTCTTTGACCAATTCAACCTGATCTTGGGCTGACTCCTAATTGATGTATATGGGAGTCGAGGGTAGGGGAAAATTACACAGGAGTCATTGCAGGGTCTACCAGTAGGGACTTTTAGATTTGCACGTCGATAACTTTGACTGCAACGTGTGACGTCATTTTAAGGCACTGCGCATGCGTCACGTCGTCTCAGTCGGCGATCGAGAATGCGTCAACCTTGATTTTCCTAAATCTAGTACGGTACTAGTATATGCCGCGTGCGCATAAAATATACAGTTCCTCAGATAGACAAAGGAACATCTCTTTCCCGCTATTATGTAAAAAATGTGTAGAACAGGTGTCACATGGATATTCACCTGTTCTACACATTTTTACATTATAGCAGTGAAGGGATGTTCTTTTGTCTACCACAGCAATTGTTGAGGGTAGAATGAGGAACTGTATATTTTGTGCTATATAAAAGATTTCTAATAGGCCATTTTCGTCATGTAACTAAATTTAAAGCATAAGTCTTTGTGAAGTGCCTCAATACAAATTATTTCATTCACCTGGTAAGAATAATAGTATTTTAAAAGACATATTCCAAACTGCATACATTAGTTGTTGCCAGGTTGGACAAACATTATGGCTTGACCTACCAAGCAACACTTGATATATGCAGTTTGCATTCTAACTATTTAATTACAATTATTCTTATCAGGTGAATGAAATAATTTGTATTGAGGCACTTCACAAAGACTAGTGCATTAAATTTGGTTACATTACGTAAATGGTCTATTGTAGTCAACATGGGCAGTTGAGTACGTTGACTCGCATGATCAGTACGCGTTCGTCGTGTTCTCGTCCACTTAATCTAAAAGTCCCTAGTATCTAGCATAGACTCTCTTAGGAAAGGGTTTGTAGCAACTCATTCATTCGCACTGCTTTTACTGTACATTCATGTTCCCAGTAATTTTCCATCCTAATTTAGAATTATGAGTGTGTGAATGAAAGGTTCAAGATTTTTCAATAAAATAAAGATACTCACTTTGCATGAAATTTGACCCCAACTCACTAAGGCATTCACCAAAAGCCACAGAGTACGGATCGAGATCCATTTTGTCATTTACCAGGTTATTCTCACCTGCACATACAATAAAAAAAAATGAAAGCATGATGATCACTGACATAGATCAACAAGTGATCAAGTCATGTGACGTAGCCAGCAATGGCTAGTAGAAAACTATTAAAGTGGCCTCTTGAATGTGACAAAGTTTTCTTTCAATCTTTGGATGTGTATGCATCAACAGTTTAGGAGAACAACCACAAACTGATTTATCAGTGTGCAGGTGTGTGTACGGGTGTATGCAGGGCCATTTGGAGGGAGTCTCACGCCACCACGCTCATTCTCCCGCCGTCCCACCAACTCGTAGCGGGAGAATCCCGCCACCACGCCCTTCCTCCCGCTCTCCCGCAACCTCCTGCAATCTCTCGGTTTATAAAAAAAAATCCCGCCAAATGTGTAAAATGAACCAACAATGCAATCTTGTTTTTGCCCTGGGGGGGGGGGGGGTACTGTAGTGAGCATTTTAAATAAAAAAAAATTTAAACCCCCCCCCCCCCCCCCCAAAAAAAAAATTAAAAAAATGCATGCAATCTACCACAAAGCAGTTCCCCAAAGTTGACAGCCCTGTGTATGTGTGTACGTGTGTGTGTGGCTGAGACTGTATGTCGATATTTGTACATATGGAGCCTGGCCCACGTCCACCCAAAAATTGTCCGAGTATTATATTATCTACCCACTTTCCCAGGATACTACTAGTACTAATATAATAAGTACTACTACGGTACTAGTGGTGAATGGATAACCTGTGTATCACCATGCATTTCACATCAAAATACATTTCAAAATGCAGAAGTAAATTTAACAACATGTTAAGTGATGTAAACTTTGAAGCAGCTCATCTTAGTTTGGCTTAGCTATCAACAGATACAGGGCTGTGGATATGACCTGAAAACTGAAGGGGCATGACCACGTTGCGCTGCTTTATAAAATGAAATAACCGAAGAAAGGTAGATTGCTGTTTGTATACGGTCCACGAGTTAATTTATGTAAATCTGAAATAGATCTAGATCTACGTGAAAAGATCGAAAAGTAATCATGGCATGCATGTGTATTTCAAGTCAAGAAGAAAGAGCATCAAGATATTGAACTTTACCTGATCCTGACAAGCTGACACGACGTACACTATATTATAATAAGCTGCGAATGGAAATTCACAAGTTGATCGCCCGATGAATATGGCCGATGACAACAACACAACAACACAACAACATCAACGGGAAATCCCCTTCTTACCGGTCTTGTCGTAGATGGCGCAAGAAGATTCTCAGTGCATACTACTGTGTATGATCGAATCTCTTTGTCTCAGTGCCGTATTGGGTTGTCTCAGAGCCAGTTTGGCCAACTCTCCTAATCAATGGCACTGGGTTGTGTCAGGGGCGGATCTGGGGGGGGGGGGGGAGGTGTTTAGAGGGTTTAACTCCCCCCTTGGGCTGGCAAAAAAAAATAATGACAGGGGCAAAATGAATTTTGTGCTTTGTGCTTTCTACCCCCCCCCCCGAAATGTTGGTCAGCACTTTGTTCAAATTTGGGGGGGGGGGGGGGGGGGGGGGCAAAATAAAAAACAAAATGTAGTGCTCACTACCCCCCCCCCCCCCCCACCGAGCGAAATATTGGTCGGAGCGATTTTCATAATTCGGCCCCCCCCCCCCCCATAACTGTTTAACTCTTTATGACTATAGGTCCGTGTTCTACCGGTCCTTCATAGAACAACAACGCCCTGGACGAATGGAGTCGCTTCGATTTGATGGAGATCTCAACTTTACAACTTATTTATCTACAAGTTGTTTGACGGAGGTTGTAGGCTATATCAATACACATAAGTTAAAAAATATTCGGGACTTTTGAAATCACAAATAAATTTATTCAATACTATATCTCTGAATTAATTCACATACACAATCGCGAAGACCTTTAAAAAAGTAAAAAATCATAAATTTTAAATATTCTTGTGTTTCACCAGGTGAAATGTTTGGGCATAATCCGGACAAGATTCTCATAGGCAATACGAAATTGTATTGGAATTGTCTGAGCTGCTTTCACTCCATGATGAACGTGACATAACAATCAGTATATTTTAAAAAAATAACTGAATTTCATTGTAACGGTAATTTTGATTGAGCATTAACTTGGATTCTTGATATTTGAAGCGAATGCTGGCTCCTAAGACCTGAAGTCATGAAATACACCGTTAATTTGAAGGAAAAAAATGAATGAATTTACCTGACAAAAACAATCTTGGAGAGAGTGATCAAATATATAAATGACTTAACTGTACTTGGGTTTTCAGCTGGCGCTGCAATATTTTCGATGAAAGCGCAGTATAATAATAAAAATAATAATCTGGATTTATGCAGAGTTAAATACGAAATAGGCCTACTGTTTAAGGCGCTTTGCAGATATTGTGGTTATCGGATTCATTCACGTACAATGTGCAACATCTCCACTCCACTCCCCTACCATTATAGTTACCGAGATGGCATATGACAATCACTAACACAAAGGCGGCACAAAGGTTTTTGTCATCCTACCAGGTACCCATTTCTCTCCTGAGTATGGAGTCGCAAATGTAGATTAATGTATTACCAAAGGACATTAGTGCCGTATCGGGATCGAACCCATGACCTTTGCATTTCAAGTCAAGTGATTAAACCACTCCACTACGACATTTCTACGTATGTCTGACGCCTTGCTGAAGAAAATCTTTCTGAATTCTGAATTCATTCTGACCGGGGATGATGGGGGATGGGGTCGGGGCAAGTGAGTTTGTAGGCTACCCCCTCCCCAAGTTGTTTGGGAAAAGGAGAGAATATGTAATAATATCTTAAAGACGGTATTTCATATTGAGCGCTATATAAATCCAGATTATTATTTTGATTATTATTATTATCATCATCATTATTGTCATTATTATCATCATTACTATCATCATTATTATTATGACTTTTATTATTTTCGTCATTATCATCATTATCTTTATCATTATCATTATTATAAATAAATATTATTATTATCATTATTGTCATCATCACTATTATCATATTAAGAGAGAGAGAGAGAGAGAGCAGGGAGAGAGAGAGAGAGAGATGAATGAAAGAGAGGGACCGGTGGAAACGTGAAAAGAAAAATGAGACGACAGACACCCTTCCTTTACATGATGGCCTTTTTGGGGGGCCTTATTCCCGTACTTCATCAACAGCAAAAGACTGGTGCCGACCCTCCCCCCTCCCGTAAAAGCACTGCCCCCTCAATTATTCAAACTGTGAATTGTGGAGACAACTCCTATGAAATTATATCCTACATTATAACAGTAAAATAGCCATACACATCATTAGGCCTATGTACAAAATATACTAAAATCAATAAGTATTTTATATGACTTTTTTATTGTTATTTTTGTTGTCTTCAAAACACACATCCATAATATTGTTAGCAGAATTTACAGGTAAATTTGATTGTAATTTACAGAATACATATGTGTTTACAATAAATATAATACAAATAAATTAGCAAGTGGAAGTTAAATGAAAATGATATCCTTGAATCGAAGAAGTTTTTAACATCACATTTTGTAGCACTGTTATTACACATATGACATATGATAATCTTTTCAGCTTTTTCTCTTATTCAATTTTATCAGGGCGTGGTAGGTGGAGCACCTTCAAATTAATGGCACCAACAAAAAGGGAGCTTTCTGAAAAAAGGGCCATCTACAAAGAGTAACCTCAAAGCGAAAATGTACAATTTTGAGACATTGTTACATAATACCCTAAATTGTAATTGATACATTATGAGGGATGTTCTTCAAGTTTTTCTTTTTGTCGTGAGTGACATAAATTATGATCATGTAAACGCAGCTGCCTTGAGTTTGAAAACTCATACATTAGTCTGAATCTTTATAATTTATTCTTGAACGAAGAGCAGTTGATTACCTTAACCTAGAGAAAGACGTTTAATAGCTTTAAAAACGAGCACTGTTGTATTTCTTTAAAAAAGTCCGTTCTTATGAAATGTTGGGCATTTTGTCCCCTGCCCCTCCCGGCTCTATACCGTCTTCCATCATAGTGGTAGAAAAAGGGTTCCTGTTATTACATAAAGTTGCTTTTTAGATGATATCAAAGGGGCATCATTTGTAAGCGACAGTGGGAAATATAGGCACAAAAGGGTACTTATCAAAGGGCAATTACATCAAAAGTAACTATGGGATTTATCATTAGGCATGTGTATGCTTGTAGGTTAGCAACCAGGGGACCGACGGCGTTAAGTCTTCTTATCTCCATTATCACCATTGCTCTACCACTGAACCATCACGTCTCCTATACTTGTTAAACATGTTAAAAGCAATAATTATTATGTTATTCTGACCAACAGCATAATAATCAACATCGTACAAATATATACAGTGACCGTGATAGAAGCTGGATTCTTAGTCAAATAAAGTGTAGTTATATAGACATAATAAGACATTATAGATACAAAATCTTGTAGGGTATTTGAAATAAAATGACACTCTAGACTATTATCATATTTCATTCATTAAAGAAAGTAACGTCGATGTTAAATATAATACACATGATACAGAGGTATATATTTCTACAAAAACGAAATAATCATGATAAAATTTACACAATATAGTACAATATATTATTTCCTACTAGTACCACATTCACTATGATCATGACGACTGAATATTTAGTTATAAATAATTCACATTTCAGTTTTGACATTTTCTGCACGCTGAACAAATTCATCCTATTTTTGGCATATCCTATTGGTGAACAGCGTATCATATCACTGAAGCTGTATATCAGCAACAACTAATGCTTGGTGTACAATCCTACTTTTAGACCATAGTACAAAATACTTGACGAATGAAATTGAGTTAGTTGGTATTCATATATGCCTACGGAATATGTTCTTCAAGTTTACGAAGTGTTTTTGCCATGAAAATGATGAAACTAGTGGCGATCTGAAAACGCATACGAGTTTGGGACACAAAATAATGTCCGATTCATCCTTGTTATCGATCCGGTTGACGTGCAGGGGCCCCTCTTTTTTTTAAACTCCAGGACCGGCGACTCCTTTCGATTTCAAATCATTGCTGAAATGTCTTTTGTGATGCTTATAGATCATGGATACGATGATGATGATGATGATGGTGAAAATGGCTGTCTTCTTGATCTCGATCTGGACTGGCATCTGGAGAAGAAAAAGATACATAAAATAATAGTCATTAATAATTTGAGTACACTAGTAGAGATATATAGAATACTGATAATATCCGCTAAATTATGTCAGGAAAATAAATGCATCGTTGTTGATTAAAAGATAGAGAAATAAAGTAAATTAGCTTAAGACGCTTCCCATAAAAGAGTTATTAATATCTTGAACAGTATAATGAAGAAACGCGTTATTAAGTGCGTAGCGTATATAGTCAAATGCAACATAGGCTCTAAAGAAACCTTATATCAATATTCGTTAAACCAGTTCAAATCAAATATAAAACTAGTCATTTCTTTTGGACAATGAACTTTTTTTATTCCGTTCATATTTCAGTATTTTAGATACAGTATTTAAATCTTCAAAGATATATCATTCTCTATAATTATGTAGGGTGTTGCGCTGCCCAGAAAAAAATCGACTGCTTTGCGCCAAAGTAACCATGACCGTATATTTTTTTTCTTCAAACAACATGACCATGGTTTATGAAATTTACCCGGATGAGCGAGCACTGGTGTTTCAATACCTGACATCAATAATAATCATATTATGCTTAATCACTTGGGATCTTTTATTTAACAAAAAGATAGAGATCGACTCATGATGACTATATTATATGTTAAACAAATCGTGAATGAATATCAAGTTAAATAGCATAATAATATGTACAAAAATTATATTTTACATTATCAGTTTGTATATTGTTAGACATTGTTAAGTATTTTTATTTAGTAAAGTATCGATTGTAGTACATGTAATACATATATTATTTTTGTTTTGTTACGTTTTTTTAACTGATTGGTACCGAAATACTTTGCTGTTTAAGGGGTTATGCTCGACTAGCACATGTGCTATTATCTGGCCCCTTTAAATAAATAAAATAAAATAAAATAAAATAAAATCTAATACACTTACTTGCAAGTTTGTGGATTAAATACATATGGAGATCGGCAGCCTGCTTCGAGTCTTTCTAAACATTGGCATCCACAGATATCCTCATTGAAATAATGCTTTCTTCTTCTACACGTCCTGTAGAACATGAAATGAAATTAAAATAATTAGCACAATTTGCGATATTCATTTTGATTTCGGGGAAGAGAGAGGGAGAGAAAGAAGGGATGGGGAATGAGAGAGGGGGAGACAGAATGGGTAGGGAGTGAGAGAGAGGGAGAGAGAGAGAGGAAGAGAGAGAGGGGGAGAGAGAGAGGAAGAGAGAGAGAGGGAGAGGTAGAGCCGGAGGGAGAGAGAATGGGTGGGAAGCTTGGGAGAGGGAGGGGTACGGTATACGCATTGTAAATGCAAAAGTCTAATCGTATTTGATTGATATTTAATATTTGTTTCTCCAACTTGTGTTCACCATTTTCCAATTATCCACTTATGTCTTTAATGTAGCCTGTACCTTGTTTCTCTTTGATCGCTATAGTTCTTTTGTTTTGTTTTCTTCTTAATCGTTTGATTCAAATGTCATAGTTTTATAATGTTTTTATTGCCTATTGACTGTTTTTACACATTGTTTTTAATTGATGTTGGAATTTGGAAATAAATGATTTGATTTGAATGATTTGAACTTGAATTGTTTTATATTAACATGTCGCTTGGGCCGTTACCTCTTTTCAAAAACATAGACATAACATAATCCTAATCATTACAAAGAAAAACTTACCTTTCATGTATTGGCATGTTACAGACGCAGTTACATCGTATAGCATCCCATACCATTCCGTCAGGGCACTCATACTCTGCAGCGCATTCACACTGACAGTTTCTATGAATCTGTTAACGCACACAAACAAAAAGCAAAGTCAATCATTTTTGTTTAAAACGTTTCCTTCAAATCCATTAGAAAAATTAGAATAAGAACACCTGTTTGAACTATAATTATCTTATCGAAAATTAATATCGCTAGTGACATTCGTTTGTCTCGCAATGTATGGTCCAGGGGCGTACGCAGGGGGGGGGGTTGGGGGTTCAACCCCCCCCCCCTTTTGGTTTTTTTATTTTTTTTATTTTTTTTTATTTATTAAAAAAAAAAAAAAAAAAAAAAAAAAAATTATACCCACGGCTAACCTAAATAAGGTGACCTTACCCCCCCCCACCAAGAAGAAAAATGTCAAATTTTGAAATTTTGAGACCAAAAAAAAAAAAAAAAAGTGTCCGCTTACCCCCCCCCCCCCCCCCCCCCCCCCCCCCCCCCCCCCCCCCCCCCCCCACTGAGCGACTTTTCGGCTGGCTGAGTCGTTGCGATTTTTTTTGACCTCCAAAAAAAAAAAAAGTGTCCGCTTACCCCCCCCCCCCCCCCCCCCCCCCCCACTGAGCGACTTTTCGGCCGGCGCGATTTTCAAATTTTCGGGAGCAAAATATTTTAAAACCCCCCCCCCCTTGAAAAAATCCTGCGTACGCCCCTGGTATGGTCACAAGGGATATTATTAGAGATATTATTTTCGATACTATATCCGCAATGAGTAATATATTTAGCATTATAATTATATTTGTTAAACTATTGCGTAATCATATACTATTTTTTCTCCTATTATGCTGGTTTAAAAACTTCTTGATGATTTTGAGTTAGATGATTAAAAATTGCCTGAGGAAAACGTATGAAAAAATTAAAAGTGTAAAGTTTTTTGATATGTTTTCTCATGGTCTCATTATTTTGTTGAAATTAGTGAGATGAATAGTAATGATCTGAATTTATATAGACGGAATACCGTCTCTAAGCCATCGGATTCACAAATATTCATTTCAGGAAAACGGATTGACCAATCAGGAACAAGGTTGCAACTAATTCTTAAATTGGTTTAAAAATCCAACATCGTTCACTGTATCTCTTTTCCGTGTGACCTATTCTTCCCGATCGTCACTGAGTACATTTACTATATGTATTCATATTGTAGACGATTCACAATGCAAGATGTTTTACACAAGGTAACATGCGTAGTACCTCTCTGGTGGGATGGCAGTCCTGTGGCTTGATCCTACATTCGCATGAACACGATTCGTCTTCCCGTACAGAGATGGAAATAAGTCCGCTCAGCTGAATTTGGGTAGATTGTTGATCAGCAGTTAGGCGTAAGACCTATTGAAGAAATGATTAAAATCACTAGACATTAATTTTATTACAATTTGTTTTATTTTGTTTTAAAAATATGTTATAGCACGTTTGTTCTAATTTGGCCGGGGATTAGACCTCCCTGCAAGGTCATTGACAGGTGGTTATCTCATCAAATGAGCTCTCAATCAACATAAGAAAAAGGGGATCATGGGTAGGCTAATCACGGGGGACCAACATGCACCGATTAGGCATTCAGGGCGCAAGTGGCTAATAAGTAGTGCAGTGGGGCTTAACAGATTGAAAGTGGCTTTGGAGAGAGTGAGAGAGAGTTAGATAGAGGGGATAAGGACATTTTTCTAGTAAAGGACGTCCAAGTAAATATCAATCTTTCCGCAAAAAAATCTTTAAAAAGATAAATAATATGAAAAGGTAATAACAATATAAAATACAATTAAAAAAAACCCGAAAGAATTCCCTTAAAAAAAAAATGTCAAAATGGTAAACCATCGTATTGATTTTAATTCAAATAATGAACATAAACTGGACCCTTCCCCCGCCATTCAAGCGATTGCTGTTAATAATCGTAGTCAAGGAGTGACAACTCTTATTTTTGTTTAAACATTTTGGATAAAGTTGGTTTAACATCCCCCCCCCCTTCCTCTCCCCGGCGCCCGCCCCCCCCCCCTCCCAAGACAACGCCCCTGGTCATACCTGCATTTCTCTTGTTCTTGTGTTATTTGGAGCACATTGCAAGATTTCAGTGGAGCAGCAACCTCCGCACCGGTTAACTGTGATACATGGAGGCCAGTAGATAGCGTACTCAACCTCGTTCTCAGTTAGTCCTTCGTCAATGACCTCGGATGTGGCTAGGAGTGTCGATCGCGGCTCACACCTCGGCATTTCAGCTACTAAAGTATTATAATAGGTCAAATTGAATGAAATTAATGCATTGATTTGATATTTCCATTAAAGATTGCGCTTGCAATATCGTTTGTTTGTTGTAGTGTAATAGCATTTTGTTGGGAATGGGCTTCGAGGTGCTTGAGGGCTTCGAGGTTTTGCTCTTGCTTTTTACATCAACTATGTTTTCGCATACTGTATATGATGGAATTTGTTTTGAAAATAAAGAACCCTGTGGAAGGGAGGGGGGGGGGGGGGAAGAAATAACTATGTTTTCGCGATTTTTTTTTTTAATATAATTTTTTAAGGGAGGGAGGGGGGGGGGGCACGCATGCATTTCGACTGAAACTGGACATGTACCCTCTGGACAACTTCAACCCGAACGATTATTACTCCAGGATAACAACACCCTGTTGCGTAGCGTGGCTCTAGTCACGGAAGGGGGCGGGGCAATGGTGTTATGTGAGGGGCACTTGATTAAGAAGTCCATGCTCGTACTAATACTGTATTAATAAAAGTTCGAGAGCAGAAGGGCGTCGTGTAATGATTGGATCGATGTGAAAGGGGTCTTCACCGCCCCCCCCCCTTTTTTACGTTCTCTTTATCTCCCCCACCCCCTCCCCTCCCATGCGCCAAATTATTTGTCATTCGATTAATGCACCCCCACTGAGCGGCTCATATAACTCTTAGTTCAAACTTTCCCCTTAGACAAGTACTCTCCCGGACAATTGCTTGCCTTAAAAATATTCTCTACACAAAGGTCTCTAGAACAGATTTATCCGGACATCCACCCCGACTCAGACAACTGTCCCTGGGTACTACCACTACTACGCCCTAGAGAATTGCCATCCGGACGATTAACCCTAACTTTAGGACAACTGCACCCAGACATACATCTATATATTCCCGGACAAATATCATTGGACAGGTATCTTTGGACAATATTGCTTGCCGAAATATTACCTCCGAGACAAATCTCACCCCTGACACTCGAAGAAAATCTGCATCCGGGCAACTATCTTCTCGCGGATCTTCTAAACGTGGTTGGAAATGTTATCACTAATCCCGAATCCAACTTCAAATGGGAAATAAACTTCGGCTTAAACACCGTCGAATTCCACTATAGTAGAGTGGATGAAGAACTCCTGTTATGGGCTTAGTGAATGTATACCTCGCGGCATTCGATCCCCAAATAATGTGCCCCCAACACATAAAAACAAAAACAAAAACAAACTCTCAATGGAACGGTATATTTAGATGATTTATATCTGTCCGTGTCCCTCTTAGCTGTTTTTTCTTCTCTTTCTTGCGACATCTTGATATTCAATGACTAGACATGCATGGTGCGAGACTGGCATGAATAGATTATGAGACAGACTGTGGTTGGGGATTCAAGGGAGGGGTCAAAAGAATAAAACTGCGTCAAATAATCAATATTATGAACGAGATATATGTTATCACCCTTTGAATCATTAATGATATATAAAGGTCTCCGGTTTTTATTTAGGCCTATATTCTTTCTGTAATGCATCGTCGCGTCATTAATCATCCACTCATTTTGCTCTCTATCTGTCTCTGCCCACTCTCCATCTTTTTTCTCCTTTTGGGGTTTTTGGTTGTTGTTGTTGGTGTGCATCTCTTTTTTAAATTTATAAATCTGCCTCCACTGCTCCCTATCTTATAACATCTCTATGACGTCACTATGACAAGACCATGCATCATCTCCTTTATTCTGTTTGCATGACTGTGACCCTATTTTATATTGTGACGTCATGAACTGTTTGTTCTTTCTTCCCCAAGATGTAGCCAAATAAAATTCGGTTTCAGATATCATCATCATCATCATCATCATCAAGTGCCAGGTCTGTTGCAGACATCGGCGGTCATGGCCCTCCATTTTTGTCTGTTATCTGCTGTTCTTAAAAAGCTGGACTTGCTGATTTCATTTTTGATTGCCCATTTTGTTTCAGTCTTTGCAAATATACGTAAGGCGTAGCCTTCCCTGGCCCGTTTCTTCAATCTTCTCTGTTAATATAGTTCTCCCTAGATTAATTATCCTTTTTGTATATTATGTGACCAAAAATTGCATTTGCTTCTTTTTATTGTGTTTATGAGTGATGGTTTTACTCTTGATTTTCTGAACAATCTCAACTTCATTAATCTTTTCTTTTCCATGATATATTAATCGAAATATGTTTAAGTAAATTAAATTTTGTATAAAATGTACCAACGCGACCCCCACTCGCTCACTCCTGCACCCCTTCCCCTCTTTCTCTCTCTCTCTCTCTTTTTTTTCTCTCTCTCTCTCTCTCTCTCTCTATCTCTCTTTCTCTCTTTCTCTCTCTCTCCCTATCAAATTCTTCCGAAATTATTTTTCAAGTCGTCTGTTATTCATATTTGTTTGACGACAAAACAAAATAACGATGACATAACATGATTGTAAAGACTTTCGAGAAATCAACCCTAGGCAAATTTCATTAGCCCCGTGCGTCACTTATTGAAATTTACGAACATGAAAATGACGTAATAATGACGTAATTTTTGACAATTTGTCTCCATTGTTTTATAGGCAATACAATAAAAGTTTAAAAATTGCACGAAATTGATTTTTTTTTAATAAAGATTTTGCTATCGTGTTACATAATATAGTGTATAATGTAACTTACTTGATGCCATTTGCAGACTAGCTGGGCCATCCATTCCATGGAATCTCAGCAGCGCTATTTTATATGAAAATAAATCATTTTATTATTATATAACCAACAAAAAAGAAATATTGCTTTCTTGAAATTATTAGTTTATGTACATCTTCCCTGCTGCTGGTTATGAAGAAACACTTGAACGTAGACGATCTTCATCATACAATCCAATATCGAAAGGCGACTATATACAAGCATTACCCTTCTGCTTCTATCATTATACTCCGTTATTATTGCGTAAATTATTACATGTTCTCATATCGGTGACAAATCCAGGAACCCCCCCCCCCACCACCCCCACCCCCCCCCCCCTCTCTCCATTCAAAATGCAATCAATACAATATTTTAGGTTTATGGTACAGTATACATTCAGCCCCTTTGTTCAGCCCCCTCCCCGATCTGTGGTCCCCCTTCCCCCTTCCCCCGCTCATAAATTTCTGGATACGCGACTACATGTTAATACACTCCTAACTGTCTTAGGGTTATTAATTTACCGGACGGTTTGTTTGCTCCAGTAGTAGCTGCACCATCAGTTTCCTCTTCGGACTCTTCCGAAGATTGCCGAGAGATGATCGGAACCATTTTCGGAGGTATTCGTCTATCAACCGATGAGCTTCCTGTGAATCCCTTGGCTGATGTAGATGAAATAACGTATTTGCGTAAGGAAAGATGGAGGGGGGGGAATGATAAACAAAATACGTACGATTTTCACATAATTGGTTGTAAATATGTCATTTGATCTCCTTTTATTATTCTTAGACAAGAATATTGCAGAAATAATTTGTATCAAAACGGGTTATTCGAGTGGAGATTTTTTTTTCTATGCCTACAGACGTGACAAAATTGGGTTGAAATCCCAATGAAAACTACCATAACATAATGACTCAATGAAAAATTGTTTTGAAAAAGCATAAAGATGCACAAAGAGCTGAAAGTGAGAGAGAGAAAAAAATACGGAAGAGAAAGAGAGAAAAAGGAAGAGAATCAGGTAAAATTGATTAGAGAAATATAGTGAAAGAGATGGAGAATTAAACATCATAATAATACACCAATAATCACATAAATCACAATAGTGCAATGAAAAAGACACATAGAACAAGACAATGGAAAGAAGGCATGGAGAATCATGAGAGAGAGAGGGGGGGGGGGGAATAGAGAGAAAGAGATAAACAGACAGACAGACAGAGAGAGAGAGAAAGAGAGAGAGAGAGTGAGAGAGGGGGAGAGAGGTGAAATTAAATATCATAATGATACGCAATATAATATAAATTGAAAAGACGGACAGAAGAAAGACAAAGAGATATCATAATGAAGGAGAGATAGAGAGACAGAGAGACAGCAAATAGAGCGAGAGAAAGAGAGAGAGAAATAGAGAGAGAGAGAAAGAGAGAGAGAGAGAGAGAGAGGGGGGTGAAAGGGGGTGGTAAATACCTTGATTTGGTCGTATGTATACCACTTTCATGAGATCCTCGATCGTGTGTACATCTTTCAGTCCATACAGCAATGAGGCTGGGATCTGTAAGGGGCGAAAGCAAAGATGTGATTAACATTATACTAGCTCAAAAAGTATGGACAAAACAACTATTGATTCAACCAGTGGTAATAGTAACAAAAAAGACTTTCAATTACTCTGAATTGATATGAGGAACACGAATCATTTGATAGGGGGGCACCACCGGTCTTACCTGGAATATGAAATGCACTTTTTGATTAGTTGGAGGGTGCTAGAGATACCCCATGCCTCTCCTTTTTCATCCTTTCCCCCTTCTCCCTTTCCCTTTATCTCTTTCCTCGCGTAGCGATACAAGCCCCCCCCCCTCCCATTATGTCCACCTATAGCTACGCTACTTGGCCTCACGATTAGTATGATAAATGAATTGTTAGTAGGTTTTCCTGTTTCGTGTAATTAAATTTTAGTTGTTATTGCCATGCTGAGCCAAGGGTATGTTAACCGTATTCCTACAAAATAATGATAAAAGTGAAAGTGACTTTCACGAGAATTTAGTGTCCATTATAAGCTATTATAAACTTTGGTGAGTACGTATGAAAAAGTCACCAATGAAAGTAATAATTATGTCAATAATATGAAGACGATCACCTTTTAAATTGTGTGTATTAGTCCTATAATTATGATTATATGATTTTAGGACTAGTTAAGAAATTCTAAACATTCACACGTTTATTTTTTCTAAAGATATCAAACTTTGAAACGGCATTTAGGCCTGCATGTTTCTTTCACTCTGTCAAAATGTCTAAACATAGTACACAGACTTCCATGGACATGCCAATGTTACTTATAATTATAATGCACTGAAATTAAATTACAAAGATTATATTCGCGTCACTTCGGAACTATATTAAATGTAAAATAAACTTTATTTTGTGTAACATGACGGGATAACATAATAGTTTATACATAAATAATATATTATGTATGTAACCAATAATATTTCCAATAAATCTGATAAACTGTCTTTACATATTTCTATCAATAGAAACCTAAGTGAAATAATTATGTGTGTCTTGCGACTGCAGTTTTTCAACGAAATCGAGATTAAATCAGAAAGCGCGCTATTTCCGTTCTCAGTTTCTGCCTTTCTCAAAGACGCAACAACAAGCTCTTATATTGTTTGCGGAAAACACAAAATAAAAACCAAGACAAATTCGTAATCCTCGTAGCTGGAAAGCAAACAGGATGTGAAATTGATATCAATTGGAATTTAATGACATAAAAATGCTATTATTAGGATGTTTCTGGAGTGAACTGTTGGCACTTTTCTAACGATATGAGTAATTTCAGGAACCAAAATTAAGAAATTGGATTAACAAATACAGAATGGTGAATTTCAGGGCCATGAGTGATCGGAACAAACCGAGTTCCTGCGTTAAAAAAAATAAAAAAATAAACAAGATGTTACTTTTGAGGTGATTTGTTAAAAAGACGAACTAATAACAAACGATCGTAAAAACTTTCGAAAAACCAATCTAAGGCATTGTCTTTGAGTTGATGTTTCAATTAGACTTTGCGTTCAAATTGAATAAGTGTCCATTTTGTATAAAATAAGAAAACCACTGTGAATATCTAAAATGTATAGCCCTTTCTATATCACCACGCCGTAGACTATTTTTTTGTCTGGAAGAAATTGTATTACATTCAATAAAACAAGAAGTTTAACGCTGATAGTAACCAAACAGTTCCCTGGTCAATGTGATTAGAAAAGCAGCAGGGGAAGAATCAGCAGTTCTACTTCAAGCGTAGATAGTTCATGTAAGTATATTTGTATAATACTTTAAAAGGAGACTATTTCCATAGTCCAGACGGACTTCGACGAAAATTCATTGTACTTCTCCCTGGGAGGTCGTCGAATAACGCTGATTCAATTAGAACGTTCCTTCTTTTGTTTCATCATAATTCATCCTCTTCAAAAATTGAATTTGGAAGCGAGGATTGATAGACGATTTTAGAAGGCACAAGGTCAATACTGTGCGAACCATGATTTATAAGTTGTGTGACGGGTATTTTGTCTTATATTACTTGTAACATACTTTGTAAATGTAGTTGACGAGTTTTTTAAATTCATGATGACCAATTCCTTGTGTAATATGTAATGCTATTACTACATTTTTATTTAACTTTATTTTTGACACATGTTGTGAAAGGCGTTTGGGAACTCATGTATTAAGCGCTCCATAAATGTATTCACTATTTCGTTCAGTAGTAATAATAGTAGTAGTATTAGTAGTAGTAGTAGTATAGTAGTAGTAGCAGTAGCAGCATTCGTATAGTAGCAGTAGTAGCAGCAGCAGTAGCAGCAGTATAGCAATAGTAAGTAAGTAGTAGTAGTAGCAGTAGTAGTAGTAATAGTAGCAATGACACGATTGAAAGCAAGTAACAGCAGACAAATTAAATGAATCCTTTTGTGTTTGTCTAATAAATATAATAATAATCTAAGTACATGCAGTTACTCGATTTAGATCGAGGATATTCAATACGGACATTACTTTCGAAAAACCAAATAAGGTCCGATCAAAACGGAACACCCTATATGTATATCCCATAATATTGTTCACGCATTTCAAAACAGCATACAAGGCTATTGAATATGCCTTAGGTTAATTTTTCGAAAGTACATGCGATTGTCTTTATACGTGAGAATGAATTGCATTGCAATTTTTAAAGCCTTACGTTAATCCATGAATATTTCTGGCTAAAGGGCAGTCTCCCCTTTTTTTCCCGGAAGTAACGAAAAATAAAAATTTGGTGGAATTGCGTCTAACTTGTAAATCATATTTTTGTCTATCTTTAAACAGGAGATTTGAGTACACCCAAAGGAGTTATCTTCATCTATATTGACCTAGTTTCATCGCATTTCCGATATTTTCTAGGCATTAGTAAACTTATTCCTATAACTTTCAAACCCGGATATTCCTACCAAATCGCAATTATGAATATTATAGAAACAGAGTTGTGTCTGTGAGCCATTTATAAAGACAATGAAAGTGAGATTCTGCTAGACCTCCCATGTCAAAGCATTGGTTACTTGTTCCAGTTTAAATCTTCATCATCATCATCATCATCATCATCATCATCGTCATCATCAAGTTCGGTTTTAAAATGAAAAGCTATTTTCCACATTCGAATTAACAAGCTCTTATCTTTGAAGAAGAAGAAGAAGAATTAAAAACAGAATCACACACATTCCAATATCTCGAGTACATACAATTCCCTAACAAAGATAAAGTAAAGGAATCAGATTATGTAGTAATTATATGGAATACGGTAGGATCAAAGGAAGTACTTTTCATGAAAGGGCATTAGATGAGTGATCCCATTGGAAATAGGCCATTTTCGTAATTAATTTAGATTTAAAAACAAATATTTGTAACAGGTGAATGAAATAGTACTTTGTAACATGATACTTAATAAAGATATATGCATTAAATTTGAGGAAAATAAGAAAATTTAATGGTCAATTGTAATAGAGTAAATGTTTTGTAGATCTACATGTGCTCGTGTCGAAAGTGTATGCTCATCGGAAATTAAGTTTGATCCCTGCCCAATAAATTTTCTGAACAATTATGAAGAAAAAGATAGAGTTGTACTGAACAAACCTAATATCTTTTCATAATGTGCTCTAAATGCTTAAAGATATAGACCGGTAGTGGTAAAATTGCGGTTCAAGGGTTTTCGGGGCTAAATATCCATTCAATATTTTTTAAATGTTGCCTTCAGAGGTTTAGATGGCAATACTTCAACCTAAATTCGAAAGAAAAAAAACACAGAAATATATGCCCAAATGTTCAATGTTGAAGTGCATTCGCGATATCTATCCAGGCCGGATCGATATGATAATTTACCAAATATATCAACTAGTAGGCGGTTTCCTGGCAAAATTTGTATCATCACGTATTAGAAAAAACAGTCTTTTAAATGAATTGTAATAATAGCTTCCATTTCATTTTTGAGAGGGGGCGTTTCCAAAACTGGTCTATACCTTGACTCGACATTAACAAAACTTAAAATCAATAAATCAATAAACAGATCATAACTTTCCCGTGCAATGCACGGCATGTGAAATAAACAACGGTAAAACAACTAAACAAGGCAGTCTATTTTTCTCTTTCTAAAACAAATTGACTTTGATGTTGCCTAAATGCTTGCCAAATGATCGTGAGACACGTACGGAGTTGAACCATCTGTTTCAATCCGATGAATGACATTCTGAGATAAGATTACGCAGAGATTCGAAGGGATAAAAAGAACTTTTGAAGGTTTAAATTCGGAATTCGTGCAGTAATATAGTCATAAGTGCATATGCCATCGCGAAGTGCGTCTGTATAGTGGTTCAAACATTTACAACGATCAAAATTCACACGCTTTTGCACTGGTTAACACTTTTTAACTGAGGAATGATTTTGAAATTGCTGCTTTAACTTTGTATGATGCGAGACCGTTGTAATGACAATATTTTTTCTCGCAAAAAACCCGAAGAAAGCAAAGTTTTACCTGATCGACTTGCCTTTAACATCAAGAAGCGTTGTATAAAAAGATTGAAATACATAAGTCATTTTTTATAATTAAAAAGAAATTATATTCTAGTACTTTAACTTCTTTAATGAATTATCCATCTTCACAGAAAATTATTAGCCCTTATTCCTTTAAAAACATCCAGGGTAAACGATTTTTGAAGACTTAAGATTATGTTCAAATCCTTAATCGAATTTGCAACATAATATTCAAGGATTTTGCAGCAATAATTCAAACCAATATTTCCTCTTTTTATTTTGTTTTGTTTTGGCTGACTAAATTTACAATGTTTCTCGAAGGTTAGATGTCGATTCGGATCACCATAGCAACCACGATCCGCAGAGATAAGGCGGATAACAGCGAGTAAAAATTGATTAGTTCGTAAATATGAACGGTCTCGGCTTTCCGCGGAATCATGTTTTCCAAGGCAACACAATTGGAAAAGTTTTTGTTCTGTTATTAATTTGAGTGTATTTTTTTTTTATCTTGATGTAGGATATCTGCATGTTGGATCAAACAAGTGAACTTTGCAAAAGGAGGGAGTCTAAACAATACAATGATAATTATAGTTATTGCACTTTTGAGTTTTCACCATGCAATTGGGTCTGTCAATAATATACGCTATGTTACGCAGGCAATTGCGGCATTATGAAATATACAATGATCAATATTATTGATACACAAACATACATCAGCGTATCAAAATGAGATTTTTTTCTTTCTTTCTTGACACCACAGTTAATTTTATGAAAAGTGAACCTTTGTTTGGACTTTCTAATGCATTATCTGATTTTGTTCGATATGAATATGAAATGAAAGTCTTTATTTTATGAATAAATGCTATTGAAAACTAAAACTTGAGCCTCTCCCATTTAATTCCATTTATAATGGGAATATAATATTGTTGTGATAAACAAAGTTCTCAGTACATTTGAAGAAAAAAAATAGTATGATTGTAGGACAGTCAATCTCTGATAGTTATCTGCCGCGACTGGCGGATCCTAATTTTGAAGACAGTATAATTATCATTCATAATTTCTTATTAATTAGTATCATTGACATCTTCTGCGAATACTATTCCGGATTGGTAATGATGGTCCACATGCTATGATATTTGTACAATACTTTTCAAACTTACTTACACTTCCAGCACATTAATTCAAACGAAATGACCGTATTAACCCATTTCTTAACTATGATGATGATGTATGTATTTTCAAGATTCTCTGGCAGAAAAAACATTACGACCCAGACTCTGGTAAAATATTATGCGCACTTAAATCACTTTTATTTGAAGACTAATGGGTGTACACAAACTGATGGATCAGACAAATTTCAGTTTCGACAGAAATTTGCTTCACTTAAAACGGATCATGTATGACCAATGTCATTGAAACTAAATACACGCAAGATGATAACAAGCGATGTCTTATCAAAGGGGACATCGTGATAAACTTCATCAACTCTTCAATATGTTGCATTACTATACCGGGTTTTACTGACGTCATATAAACATGTAAACAGCAAAGCCAATCACTTAGGGGTAATCGATTTTGATTGAAATATTATGAGCCGAAAATCGAGGCATTCAAAATTGCGTTTCTTCAATAACAGTTCGATAGAATTAGTTTTGACAAGGGATTTTGAATAAAATTCAGTTGCTGCGATTTACAATCTTAATAAACCTAAAAGAACTTTGACATGGCAGAGCTGTATACGTCTATAATAATCATGATGGTAATAATAATTGTTTCTTGTTAAGCCCTTTTACAGCAAACTGGGCGCAATATTATTAACATTAACTAGGAACTTTGAACTATTTCTTCTTCAGAGGATAGATGATTGTCAATTGAATATGCAAAATTATTATCATTATATTGACTGTTCATAAGCACCTTCCCTCCCCCTCCTCTTTCTTCCTCCCCCCTCCTCTCTCTCTCTCGCTTATCATTGGTAAACATGTTTGGTATATCTATACTTCAATACTTATCAATTTGACTCGTTCCTGTGAAATAAAACTTTACGGTTCGTTATGATTATAAAAGAAAACATATTTGTAAGTAAGTAAGTAAACACACAATATGTTAAACAAAGTCAAGCATTAACGTAATTTTAAAGTTTCGATTGTTGAAAAAGATACCATAACATAAAAAAAATTCCTGGAGAAAATAATAAAATGTATGATTAATATCTTGGACATCAAAGTCTTGAGCTTACCTCGCTTTTAACAAACGAATACTCAGTCAATAGCTGCAGGAAGATCCAACACAACAGACTGAAACAATTCCAATTCATGACTTCTGTTTCTTTGACAACTGTTCGATCACTGTATAAAGAAACCCCGAAAGAAGTGGGAGTTGCAGCGATGTTGTTTCTCTGAGCTGACGAACGACTGAAGCTGAAGTATTCCCGAGAACCCGAACTCAACTCTCTGCCCTCGATCGGCCCGGGCGGCGCAGACAACACTAAGACAACGATGGGATTTTTAGAGGTTGATTTAAAATTATCCAATTTTAGTTCGCGCCCACGCTTGTACTTCGGGTTGAATATTCCGCGGTGTCGCTTTCAGCTTGTTACAAAGTCTCGTACGATGATTGCATTACTGGCAATGAATGGGTGCCTTGACTAACAATTTGGTAGTTGTATCGATTTGTGTTTTTGCAACATTTCCTCGTCCATTTCCTAGTTTTGAGTAGGACGTCCTGAACGTCATTTCAACAACGATGATGACATTCCGCACCGCGCGCCAATTATAATATCTTGTTTTTAAAAAAAGTTAGAAAAGTTCGCGAAAAAAGTTGTGATTACATCCCCCTCATTTCTCAGCCACTAGTATTGCCTCATAATAATATACACTGACCCTATCATTTTCATGATCATGTGTTGTAAAGCAAAGTAAGTTAAACTAGATAGTTTATGAAATCAATAACAGCTATTTTGTTTGATGGTTCCGGATTATTTCTGAAATGCATAATATTTGAACATCACCGTAGAAAATGTTCTCTGAACAAAAGGATTGCTCTTCAAATGCCCTCATATTTGAAATATTATATCTAAAACCTGCTCATACGTTTTAATAAGACTATTTTCTTTAGAATTCATGTCTTTTCCTGAACCAAGCGATGAATTTGCATGTTGTGGCGGACTGGCGGTTTGGTCTCAAGGTTTCCAAGAATAGTGTTGAAGAAGGTTTTGGCCAACCGATCACACTAATTATAAAACACTTATTTATTCATACAGGAGACACTCGCTATTTCATGATTTACTGTTTTACCAAATTCCACTTGTAGCACTCGTTAAAACCAAATTAGTCTATTTCCCATTAATTCACTATTTTATCTACTTTTCATAGCCAATTACTCGTTTGGTCTCATAGGGTGAGAAAGGGGACGGGAAAGAGAAAGAGAAAAAGGAAAAAAGAAAGAAATAAAGAAGGAATGTGAAATAAGATGATACAAACCTCTCCAATAATCCCGCTCGGTGGCTTTTCTCCCTTGCATTTAACAGAGCATGAATAGTATATCATATCCTCATTAACTGGACTCCACTACGCCACCATTTGCAGATTATCATTTCTGAACGCTTGATATTATTCATTGTTGAAATGACATTTACTAAGAACTGATAAATAACCATAACATTATTTGTTCTTGTGGACTGAACCCACGGGAGAAATTTAGCAAGTAAATGCAAGCCACGTGTGGTGCATAAATAAATATTTGTGTTCAAATATCGTATTTTCGGACATTGGAATATAACAATATTATTTACCGCAGTTCATTGACAATGTTATTGTTGATCTATTTTGTCTCGCCAAATATCCTGTTCATTTATATTCATTTTCATATTCTCATTATTGCCCCCTGTGTATTCCTTTCCCCCTTTCTCTTCCGTTCTGACTCTTCAGCTTCTTATTTTATTCTTCTTCTACCCCTCCTCTCCATTCCTTCATTTTTCTTTAGTATCTGTCTTCATTCGAAAACATAGTTGAAACTACTCCAAATTCACACCAGAACGGAGCTATCCCGAACGCCTGCACACTTAAAAGAGTGGAGAGTATTTGGTTTGGATTAATACTGGTGAAAGAAGCATATCACAGATTAATGAAGACCTGTTTGAAATAAATAGCGGATTTCCGATTGAGTTTCACACATGCACACACACCCACCTTGCAGCGAAGAATCATGACCACTTGAGTCTGATCTAAGCCGAAAGTTCCGGCATTCGTTTTCATGACGCAACAAACATTGCCGAAATATTTTGTTTTTGCCATCGTGGGGCTTTACCGTGATGAATCATAATCGTAGTCATCGAAATTGGGTCGATTTGTCATCAAATTGATTTGACATTGAACTGTGATGGATAAACTGTTTTGATATGTTTTAATGGATGCGACATATTTTAAATTTAGTTTGATTTTCTTTAGATGAAAGGCACAACGTCAAGTTTAAAGTGAGAACGTTGGAGAGTTGGGGAGAGACACACAGTTAGACACGACGAGAGGAAGTTATGGAAGAAGGAGAAGGAAAAAGAGAAGAAGAAGAAGAAGAAGATAATGACGAAGATAATGAAGAAGATAATGAAGAAGAAAAAGAAGAAGAAGAAAAAGAAGAAAAAGTAGAAGAAAAAGAAGGACAAAAAGAAGAAGAAGAAGAAGGAGGAGGAAGAAAGAAAAAAAAAAGAAGGTGAGGAAGAAGAAGGGGAAAAAGAAGGAGAAGACGAAGAAGATAATGAAGAAGAAGAAGATAATGAAGAAGATACGGAAGAAGGAGAAGGTAAAAGAGAAGAAGAAGAAGAAGAAGAAGAAGAAGAAGAAGAAGGAAAAAAAAGAAGAACAAAAAGGAAAAGGTGAAGGAGGAGGCGGAGGAGAAGAAGAAGAAGAAGAAAAAGGAGGGGAAAAAAGATGGTTACGATGATAATGATGATGATAAATAAAGGGTAGTAGGAAATGGATCAGGAGAAGAAGGAGGCAGACTCCTGCTCAGTCTTGGATTTCAAAAATACTAATAATTTCAAAGCTGTCTCATTTGCTTATGGTGCATAGTGTAGTTTCAGGACATCAGATACATGTGAATAATGTTTACCTGTTGAATATAAGGACAAATATATATCTAGGCATTGAGCTGGCGAGCTGGCCTGTTATCTTATCTAACCCGACCTTCGATTGTCGATATCGTGTCAAATTATTTCCGTTTGTTTGCACTTTTCGATTCTTTTTGTGAACAAATCGATGTTCTTTTCAAATACCTCGATTATGTCAACATTAGGTGCGTCATAACGAAACATGGTGTTATTTAGTCAGATTTTTTAAGTCTGGTTGTTGAATTGAGGGTCCATGCATACTTTTTAATTTGACGCATTGTTTTTCAGGGCTCGCGGAATTTTGGGTCATTTTTCAATAATATTTGTTAAAGAGAACCTTGTAAATAATGTTGACCTAGATATAGGGATGAGTATTGTATGACAGACAAAGTTTATAATGTGGTGGTGCTGTTTATTTTAACTGACTGCTAAGAAAGCATAAATGCTTGTTAGAAAGCAACCAGATGACCGACGGTCTAAGGTCCTCTCCGAGGGACCTAGTAATGAGTGAGGAGTAATGCCTTACCAAAGGGCACTAGCGCATCGACTTGGTTTCGAACCCTGGTCGATGGATTACGAGACCACTGCTCTACCAACTGCATGAGCTATCGCGCCTCCTTATAATGCGTGTAAACACGAATAAAACGCCAAGTGATTATTCACGCAGTTTCTTGCTATCTTCTGCCTCGAGATCACTGGGGCGAAGATCGGAAACGGAAGTGTGAATAATCACTGATTCTACTGAGTTTTAAAGCCCCACTGTCCTACTTGTAGCTACTTGCTCCCTCTATATAGAAAACTTCCCCAATCGGTGCATATTGGTCCCCCATGATCCTCTATTTCCTATGTTATTTGAGAGCTGAGCTGATGAGATAGCCACCTGTCAGTGACCTCGCCGTGTGGTCTAATCCCTCCTAGTCAAACTAGTACTGACGGTCTTTAAGGTTGTTAGAAGCTTAAACTACATTGTTATGAGTACCCCTATAACCAATGACAGTTTTCTGTACGTGGACAACTGCTTGCAATTGGAAGAGTCATAAGTCATAATTATTGTTGATCTATTTATTGATTGTGGTGATGAAAGTATGAAAACTCAAATTGATGCGGTAGATTTCGTCGAATTTTTCTGCCAATTTTTTATGCTCAAATAAAGTTATCGTACCTATATTTGTTTTGGAAATGTATACAAAATTATATATATTTTTTTAAACACTCATTCTCATTAAGAATTATTCATACTTGTTCATTCTCTCTTTGTATGTCTGTCTGTCTGTCTCCCTGTCTCTCTTTCTCTGCATGTGGATCAGAAGTATAAGCTTGTGCTTTTTTCAATACTTCTTTCTTTTCTCTCCTAACTACATGTACTTCCATCTCGCTCTATTCTCCCCTCTCTCTGTCTGTCTGTCTGTCTATCTCTCTGCCTGTCCGTCTGTCTGTCTGTCTCTCTCTCTCTCTCTCTAAGCGTACGAATATGACAATCCTAAAAATGACTGCAGACTGTGAAACTCTGAAATGTAACGACAGACGTATTTATTATTTTTAAAGTCTTTTTAAAATACTTTTGATGGCTACGCTAAAACCTTGTGTGAAATACACGTATTTGGATAAGTGGGCGGACATAACGCACGCTTGTTGTATTTTTAATGAATTCGTCCTCATTTTGGAAAGGAGGTTACGGTATCTGCTGTCGAATTGAACGATATAAATAGGCCCACATTCGCCCACCGAATGATGACGGTACACACTGTGGCAATATTAATAACCCCGATGTTTTCCCCCTTCAAATCTATGCTACCCTCCCCCTCCCTCCCTCCCTCCCCTCCTCTCCCCTGGCTCTTGACGAATGTTGGATTATATTTCTTGATCGGCCATTCTATCTCAATTCTATAAAGGTCTGGTAATATTGGTACATTATTGTATATGACACGATAGCAAAGACTTTCGAGAAATCAATGCCCTATTTTTTAACCCATTTAACTTAATTTCGGATTACGTAATATGTCATTCAATGTTTGGACCTTCCAGCGGGGACGCGGAGAGAAGACAAGGGTGTTTGATTATCCTAAAAGTATTTTTCGAAATTCTTTGCGTTCGTGTTATGTTAATTTTTCATCTCATTTATGCTATCATCAATCACACGACTCTTAAAGAGAAGGTTGAGTTCTGGGAAGCGGTGAAAAATTATTTTTGAGCGTTATCATTGTTATTATGCAAGTGTGGAAGAACATAAGATGAAACATGTTACCTGAAAAGCATGGCTCTTCAAATGCCTTCATATTCTAAATATGGCATGTAACATCGTAAAAATCAGGACGGATTTTTACACCACGTGTTCGTGTAGTCCCATATACATCTTTCTGTGTACAGTGCTTGTAACTTCACCAAGACTTGGTCGAATATCTTATAATTTGGATGATTCCAGAACCTTGCAATACACACGAATACTTATATGCTAGATGATCAACCTTTTCTGGTCGATTCCACACCGTTTCTTTCACAAAACAATCGAATGACCAGAACTCAACTTCAACTCTAACAATTCACCCAACAGTAAGAACTGACTAAAAACTTCATTTTCATGTTTGTCTGATGAACTTTTTATTGTTCACAATGGCATGACTTTCTTAGCTACTTTGCTCACATTTCAAAGACGATCAAATAGAAGGGAAAAAATGAAGAAAAATATAAACAATGAACATTCTACGATATTACCTTCTTAAGTTATAATTATTACAGGTGAGCAGTACTTTTAAATACGTTTCTCCAACTTTCTCAAACTTATAATTTCTGTAGATTATACGCTCGGTTATACGCAGACAACAGAATAACAATACATTTGACGGTGCCTATATCAAATAATTACTAAAAGAAACTCAAACTCAATTCACCACAGAAAACGTCACACGACGCAAACGAGAAAATCTATTTGGACGGCAACGTTGGTTTAAATATTATAAAGCGTTTTATCTAAAAACCAAGGTTAAGTACTATAATCACTATTCTTAGCATTCTGTTTTACCTCTTTTACTTCTTAGTTGCAATAACTGTTATATGATAATGATGGTACCAATAATAATATTCTTCGTTTATATAGCGCTTAATATAATAGAGATATATTATTACCCCGGTTATCGGATTCCGGCTTTCCCCGCATAAAATATGAGCATATTCTCCACTCCCTGGGGAGCATTCCAGCCAGGCGATACAATATCAATCGTCACTCATCCCGAGGGTTCCTACAACCTCGATGCACTTTTTTAACGCTTAAAAAGCCCTCCAGCCCCCCCCCGCCCCTCTTAAATCAAAATTTCAAACAAATGAGCTGAAATATGAACTATAAAATTGCCCTAATAAATGCTTGAAAAGGAGAATAAGACTTAATAAAATATTTTTGAAAATTACGATAGGATACTGAACTACGAATGGAATGGGTGTCAGTGTACAGTATATTTTGCCAACTTAAAACGAGACTGTGTAATACATTGTGAATATAATTACGAATATGTGAGAATAAGTAAACATAAAGATACATCTTCCTTCAGGAGTGTAAAAAATTGATAACTTAATAGAGTTGATGTTTTGTAAAACATGAATGGATGCATACAACACAACATTATGGTAGAACATGAATTATAGGGAAAACGGATAGAAAACGATGAAATTGGAAGGGAACAGATGAAAATAAAAGAGAAAGACTGGGAGAGAGGGAAGAATCATAAATAGCGGTGGGTGAGAATTCATGAACTCCACACAATGTAACTTCATAAAACTAGGCTCTTCAACCACTTCAAACATTAAAAAATAAATAAATAAAACATGAATTAATGAATGACTTTCCTTAGAGATTTGGAGCGTCTTCATGAGTATATCCATATTCTACCCCATGAATCAATAAAAATTATGACACATCAGTTGAAACAACGCCTCAACGCCCCTCCCAACCCCCCCCCCCCCCCCATGTATTCGAGTGTCTTCATTAAGGATATTCCACTAACTTTGGCAATTCATGTGACATATCATTATAACATCGATGGCCCGATTCATACTCAAATTTAAACCCGTCACTGGGCTTACGCTTTTGTTCAAATTCGGGTTTAACAATGGAAGTTGTGTAGTCTGCAGTCTAAGTTATCCAAAGTCGGATTTAACTTAATAACTAGAATATGACCTGAAGTGTCCTAATTCTTATCGATACACTTATATACTCAAACCAACAAAGACACTTGCTAAACACTTGATAAATAAAAAAATAAATAATACACTTAATAAATCTCGATTTCCTGGACTACATACGGGCAATAACTGCATATTAAACCCAATCCAATAGCACAGACTTGTAAGACTATTTTAATGTTAACTGTATATACAACTGAGAGCGTCTTTGATTAAAATAAATTAAATAAATGGGTAATAATTCCATGACTATTAAATAATAAACAAGGCAATACATTCATACAATTCTTAACGGTGGTCCATACATCTTTGGCTTTAACACTGGGTGAAATCATAAATCAACCTTACCTCAAAATATAAACAACATTACTGTCATAAATAAACAAACACAAACAATCACCAGTCATGATTAAATTCGAGCGTAGAATCCTTTTAGTCCGTGATACATAAGATGACAGGAAAGACTTGATTATAATTATCTTTGGTTTTAAACATTTGTTACGGTATTTAAAAGTTCTGGTAGGTCTTAAGACAGATCCAGGAAAGCAACTGAGCTCTGTCTCCCTCTACCGTTGGAAGAAAAATCGTTATTTAATGCCGAAGTCACAATGCGTCACTTTGGATGTTCTAAACAGTTCTAGCTCTTTCTACTTCTCTCTTGTTTTTTGGTTTGTTTTTAAAATTCCTTACACATCGGCTAGATTGTCTAGTTTCGCAAAAGCGCAAAAACATTTTGGAAATATTCCAAGTTGCCGTTGCGCCTCCACGAATCGAGACGAATCCAAGATATAATACTTGCTGCTCTGGCTCAGGCCTCCGCCACGAGTAGAGAACGTGATACGACAAAAATATATATTCTTGATGGCTGAAGTTCGCTTCGAACAAATTGGCCGCGTGAACAACGACACGCACAGAACGTAAAGCGAGTGTCCTAGACAACCTCATCACCACACAAAACAGCACACTACCAAAATGTCTAATAACAACCGAATGGAACAAGTAAGACTGTAGACGATTTGCTCTGAACAATAATCACAACAGGGCAAAATTAATGCACGAGTAAATGCTAAAGCGAACAAAAGTTAAAACACAGTTTCAAATTTGCATAGGAATTCATGGTGGCTTTCAAACTACTTTTACCGAGTGAAAGTAATCTTCACAATGGTGGATTTTGGATAGAGCACCGTTCATGTCATCTATATTTTCATTACTCAGGGATAATGATGAGCCAGAACTATATATCTCGAGTAAAGAATGGAATATATAATTAATATTAATCAAAACTTGCTTCAAATACTGTTTTGTGTATACCAGAGACTGCGTGTTCATGTTCGGACACTGAACCTTTATCTTGTTGAGGGGGAGGGGAGGGGGAGGGGGGGTGTAGTTTATCGCAGCCATAAGCCTGAGGAAATGTCAAGTACTGGTAAGAAAGTTTAGGGAAATTAGAAATACGATTTATATCACCTCATCGCATCCCTTTTGTCGTCCCCTCGCCTGGTTGTAACGATCCTCAGTACAACTTTTAAATTTTAGTTTAATTTAACTTATACATTTAAAATATTGCATAATGGAGAATTCGATTAATTACTAATACCCTGATCAAAAATTATATTATTTTCATGATATTCCGAAGGCACCGATCACCCGGTTATTATAAAATATCACGTAAATGTATATATATAATTTTATATGGATTACTCTGTGATCATAAACGTTAAGTATACATGATACTGTACTTCGTCGATTTAGCCATCGACATGAACGCAAATTGTGCGACAATGCATTATGACGTCATGTCAAGTATTATGACTTAGCTTTGAAATGTGCGTGTGCGTATCATCGTAAAATCACCAGCCACGTCATTGTTGGTAATGATGACAATTATGGAAATATGGAAGTATTGTATGCACGATAATGTAATATCTCCTTAAATTAAAAATACATTTTTTTTTAATACAGATTTCGAGAATGCATATGTGGAGCAAGATTTCTTCAAAATCACACAGTGATCATAATAAATAGTTTCTTATTCCTTCCAATCTCTTCCTCTTCTTACTGTTGTCTTGTATTCACGGTTTTCTTCGTTTTATCTTTGACGAATTTCAAATGATGATAACGATAGCCTGAACCAGGTTCTCGAAATTCTCCAAAAGTGGCAGGAAATATCAATATAAACTTAAAAGTAAAATGTCGGGTGGGATAGTGTGAGGTAGAATCAAAAGTTTGTTCACCTTGGCATGTGTCATTTGAACTAAATATGTGTCATTTAGACTAAATGTAAGCAATTACTGGAAGTACATGTACATATATTATTTCATGATTCATACGACATATCGTACATTAAGCATAACAACCATCCTCTTTTTTTTTTAAAGATAAAGCAAACAATTACATGTAACTACAACCTCCGCTTATGTACACTAACGTGGCACCGTTTTCAGTATAAAAACCATTAATTCAGCAAAGTAAGATTTCTAGTATAGGAATCTTTAATTGCACTAGAGATTAGGTATCATTAAAGGCACCTAAGATAAAATCTTCATCATAACACCTCACACATTTTTAATAAAATGTATTTCTTAGAATAATAAGAATCACCGTCTACGAAGAGTTGCACACACCTATCGCAGTGCCCCTCTCGCATATTGACCCTCTATTGTAGTGCCCCTCCCTCTCCCCACTATATGAACGTTTAAATAACAACGTAACCAATTTGTATCGAACTACACTTTTTACATGACAAATGGAACACGAAACACAGCATGGAAAATCGATTAAATAATAACATGATGAAATATACAATATGCAAAGCAATAAATGTAAAGCTCAGACTCTCTGAATGTAAAAGAAGTTTAACAAAACTTTAGATGAATCAACACCCCCCCCCCCCCCAGTCCAGAATCTGGCCGATTAAATTTTTACGATCTCCACTAAACAAGATGGATCATTACACCTACTCGCTGCAGGCCGAAGATGGCGTGAGTCCCGAATTTGTAAGCTACGCCTAGCAAGCCAAAACGAAATAACAAAAATCGATCGATTTCACACAGATTATCGGCTTGCAACGGGTAGGGGAGAGATCGCGGGAAAAAGAAAGAAAATAAAACCTGAACAGATTCTGGACTAACTCCAACAGCCCCTACCATTCGTTTTAATAATGTGGGCTCTTTCTTTCTACCACTTGCGCACGGAGTAGTACTATCCCAACCTTCTTCCTCGATTTGTTCTCTTTATCCGGAGTATATCTGCACATTTTTTCTACCCCCTTACCATAAGTATAATGCGCCCATTTTCCTTTAAATCGGAAGAATATCCTGCTCCTAATATTTTGTTGATCTTTTATCTGGAGTATGACCCTACTCTCTTCTCCCATGATAGATAAAATAAAATAAAATTCTTTTCCACCATCATCACACTCATCGGTAGAATAATATAACTCCATTTTTATCCCGCCTGGGAATATAGTTTTCTCATCCTTAAACCTGATCGGGTGTTAGTACTCCGACCTGTCCCAATTCAGGGATAAAAATGGTCCATTCTTTCCCCCAAACCATATCTCCTGCCCACACCCGTCCCTTCCTTTCCCTTCTTCGAGTTGATGTAAAAAAAAACTAAAAAAAACTCCCTCCTTCCATGATCGAGATTTAAAAATCTCCAGTTTTTGGCACCAAAAACCAGAAGTATAATACTCCTTGATTTCTTAATAACTCAGGAGTATAATAATACCCCATCTTATCCTAAAAGCGAGAGAATAATCCTCTCTTCTATCCTAAAAACAGAGAGAATAATATTCTTACTTATATCTTACAAACCGGGAGAACAAATACTCCCGTCTTCTCTTACCGCAACACAAATCAAAATCGGGAAAAACATATTCCCGTCTTTTTACAACCCTTGCCGTTATAACACCGATAGCATAACTTTCGCTTCTAACTTACACACGTAAATCGGGAGAACAATATTCCCGTATTAACTAACACCTATCGTCTCGAAACCAGCAAGTTCCTTTCTTTCCTACCAGTTACCAGCCGGGAGAAAAATACTCCTTCCATTGTCCTCTCCTCCGGTCCAAATCTCACGCGTACATCTGTTTGATGGAGTCGAGCTCCACGTCTTTGCCGAATCCGCTTTTGGGATTCTTCTTGCCTTGAAACTGTCTCTCTTTGTTTTCCCATTGGGGTGTCGGGCGAAGGAGAAACATGAATCGCTGGAGGGAAAAAAAGAAAAATTTACAGTTTAAAGAACAAAATATTAAATTTGGAAAAGAGAAAAAATGTGTATGCTATTTCCTAGTACTGTGAAAAGGTAAATTTGTTTCTTATATTAAGATGAATAATGAGATCCTTTCTTATGCAAACCTTCCGAATTTACATGAACAGTACTTCCATCAACAAGATATTAATTACCTTGAGATAATTTCTGAATTTCAAGAATTAACTAAATGTTTGAAACCCTAACGCGCACTTTTCTTGTGTTAGCTTGCGTCAATTTCAATTGATTATATTCATGAAATTCTTATTTATATACGGCTAATGCACATCTATTGAATTGTGTTTCGTATTGCTGACATGAGATATTTCAGCAATCATTTGATTCGCTTTTGCATTGAAATGTTAAATAAATACTTAGTTTTGTTGCGTGATTTCGCACAAGTACGCACATTTTGTAAAACAGGAAAGCTTCACAGTCGTATAACCTTCTTCAAATTGCCTTTTTAAACTACTTCTCTTACCTGAGCATAAGTCTCTCCTTCCGAAGCAAAGAATAACTTGATGATCATCACGAGCGGGATCGTGAACAGAGGTACCACGGCCATTAGCCAGCCGAGCATCTCACTCCATTTGGGGTAAACGTAGTCCCCAAAGTAAACGGGAACGTAGTTTACCATTCCAAAGACCGAGATGAACTAAGGGAGTGAAAATTTAAAAAATACAATACGGCTTTAACAAACAAAATCATTCGCCCACCTCATAGTACTTTTATCATTTAACATTTGTCTTTCGAGTCAGTAGCTGTTTAAAATTCGAAATTATTTTGTCTTTCTTCAGAAATTCCCTTTCCAATCTCCGTCTTCTACTATTTCTATTTTGAAGCACCGTGAAAAAACGAAAATTGTTGATAATATTTTCACATCTTTCTATAGTTGGTAAAGTTCGTACGATACACTTCATACAATACACATGTTTCTATCTCTGAGTACGTACGATATAGATCTCTTCTTCAGAAAGTTCCTTAATAATTACTGATTTTAATTTCGAAGTACACAAGTGTTGTTGATAAAGATTTCAAACGAGGAATACTAACCACGATAATGGAAGGAGTAATAACCAACCAACAGCTACTATACCAGTAGAGTAGCGGAGTGACTACAGGTGTCATCCACGTATAGTCAGCAATCATGCGTCTGATATCATTAGTGAAACGACGCACGCCTAGAACATAAGAGAAAATGAGAGATAAATAGATGTGATCGAAATGCAAGTGATTAATATTCTAATAAAAAGGGTTGGAGCAGACCGCCCCTAGTCGACGCGCTATGTTATGTTCTCCCCTGACGACGCGTAACAAGTAACAATATTTATAATCGTCGTCGCACCATCCTATAGACGTGAGATTTTGCACCGTAATATAATAAAATATAAATGAATAACTACCGTACTAAAAGGCATCATACACAACTCAAAAATCTAAACGAAAGTTTCTTTAAATACGGATACAGCCGATCAGAATTGTGCGTTAGCTATGTGTTTGATTTGTTTGTAATATTTCAATTAACTATTGTACTACCTTGATGACTAAAAATATTTGAAATTAAACACCTTATATAATCAACAGCAGTGATAAGTGAAATGGGCACGTAGTTGCACTTGCATGAGTTCTGACCGTATATCATGTAGCGGACTCGTACCCGAAACACAAAACGAATAAAAACGCATATAAGTACTCACTCCATTTGGCTGAGCTAAACCCAGGGTAAACATCAAACTACCTTTGGAAACGCATGAATACAGTATTGGGGTACGAAATAGGTACGAATATTACCATTTATCAAACAGAAATTAGAACTTACAACAAATCTTGAAGTAAATGTTTAGAATGATTGTGATGATAACTTACCATAGAAGTAAGCAACAGCCACACACTCGAACACGCCCACCAACATGAGGGATATCCAACAACTGTACCAGTTGATCAACTCAAACATATAAATTCCTCCCTGTATAGAAGGAAAACAAAAACATGGTGGTTACATGTGGTTTTCCGATGGTTAATTTTTCCGAAAAATGATAAAGGCATCGTAATTCCGACATTGAAATAGGATTCTTGATTCCGAAAATGAAATGGGGTTCACGATTTTTAGAAAATGAAATAGGCTACGTATGAAGTCCGAAATCAAAATAGGGTAGTAATTCCAAAACCCAAACAGGGCAAGTTATTCCGTACACGAAACGGCGTACGAAATTCTGAAAACGAAATAGCGTACGTAATTCCGAAAACGGAACAAGGTACGTAATTCCGAAAACGAAATAAGAACGTAATGCCGAAAACGAAACGGGGTAAGGTATTCCGAAAACGAAATAAGGTACGCAATTCCGAAAACGGAAAAGGTTACATTATTTTTATTTGAAAATAATTAAAGGTTCATAATTCCGAAAAAGAAATGGGTTTCTTTATTCCGAAAAAGAAATAGGATTCATAATTCCGTAAATGAAATATGGTTTGTAATCCCAAAAAATAAGAAAGGGTTTAAAATTCTGAAAATTGAAAGGGTTTATAATTCGGAAATGAAATAGTTAAGGTATGTTATTCTGAAAAAGAAATAGTGTAATTTCGAAACTACGAACGGTTTTATAATTCCGGGGCATTAATGACATACCTGGGAGGCCATGGGTAGTCCTAGAAGAAAGAAAACGACACACACTACGAGGGCCGTTAAGGTGCCATGTTTTCTCAGATGGTTGGGGTAGTAATCCGTCAGTCCACTCACAACCGTCTCCACCATCCCAAACTGTTAAACAAACAACAAAGCAAAGAGAAGGTTGAGTTCTGGTGAAGGTGAACGATAAGTTGTAATTTTTTTTTATTCATCTTAAGTTTGTGTGGAAGAGGATCTTTGAAAGAAATGTCCCCTGAAAATGTTGGCTCTTCAAATGTCTTCCATATTTGAAATATAACAAGAAATAGCTGAAGTGTAAAAAACCAAGCCATAGTTTTAACTCGGATCCGAAAACTTAGCAGGCAACATTTGTTTATATTCCGCATCACCGGTGCCAATTATAAAAATATATATATATATTAACACAGTGTGCCTGTCGAAGTGTATTGATTTGAAACGTCCAAGAAAATATACCCGACGTCTAAGAGCATTGCCCATATCCATTGTTAAATTCACGCGCGCAATTATTGCGTCCATGCATTGTATGCTCAAGTAGAACTAAACCCGGTCAATATTTTGCGCTAAACTGCCCAGAAGTTTTAAACCAATCACAGGCCTAGAATCGTTACATGCGGTTTATAAAAATAAATATAATATTAAGTACACTCGCAGATATTTCAAAAAAATTTGAGAAACAGCGGCCACGATTAATTACCTGTGTATCAAGTCCAACAAGGAAGAACATGAAAAAGAATAGAATGGACCAGAAAGGGGCTGCAGGCATCTGGGAGATTGCTTCCGGATACGTCTCGAAAACAAGACCAGGACCTGTGAAACAAAGTCCCAAACAAACCAAGTTACACTTCTGTATCTTTCGGATACATTACCGCTTTGTTTGACATGAAACAAAACCTTTTAATTTCTAATTTGATTCCGCCATCATAGTAATTTTTTGGATAATGAAATAAAATAAAATAAAGTTCACTCAAAGTAATGAATAACAACATTTTAAAGATGTCATTGATCATTGTTATCCAATAAATCACTTTACACATGTCTTATTTTTCACGAAATGTACTGGGTTTCCATAATAGTTCTGCTTCGGTGTCTTAACCTTGATATATTTACATCAATGAACTTCTTAAATAAGTTTTCAACGAATCCACTTTGCCTAATATTACTATTAATAAATATATAAAAAGAACATACAACAATTTATAGCGCGCTACACGCCCATGCAACAAAGGGTGCCCGAGTCGCTTACATTAAAACGCATTCCTAAGGAAATACACTCGAAGCATTCAAAATCATACATATTCATGATATAATATACACGTCATCAGACAACATTGGGATGATATTGACCTTTGACCGCGACGTTGTCAATGGAGATACCGGTCTTATAAGACATGAACCCTAGCGTAGAGAAGACGACGAAGCCTGCGTAGAAACTACTCAAGCAGTTGATGATCGGGATACAGATGGCATCTCTGTAATGAAACAAACAGTATGATGATAAAGGTCATGACGTCATAACAAATAAAATGGCGTTCATAACGTCGGAAGATGGTTATTTTGTCAAGTAAATACCCCAGTCTTACCAACGAAAGCGCAACTTCTAAATAAAGAAAAAAATCGTGGTGTTACAGATATGCTTTGCGTTGTGTCCTCGTTTTTTTCTTCTCGTTTGTAACCTAAAACTTACTTTTTAAAGAACAAGATGAGATAATTATCAAACGAATTTGAAATTCAGGAAATCAAATTTCGAGAAGGTAACGAAATGCATGTATCCTTTCCAAAAAAAAAAAAACTTCCGATCATTGCCTCACTCTTCTGCGTGTTCACACTCCCCAACTAAGAGATTTATGATATCATGAATACAGGTACTCACATAAGACAGTTATTGTTGAACTTGTTGTAACTTGAGAAGGTGAGAACTCCGCCCCACGCAGGCCCCAAGGAATAGAAGATCTGAGTTGCTGCTGCTCCCCATACCTTCAATAATCAACAGAAAAGATTAAAGCTTATTAAAAAGAAATCACATTTAATAAGCAACACCTTCACAAATTAATGTATTATTTATCTTGTATACAGTAAAATCATATTTCTTTCAGTTAATTGTTTCATTCATTTGTAAATACCTTAATGTTCATTTATTAATGTAACACATAACTTTTTTCTGCCTTTTATCGAATCACACACAAATAATACAAATATCTAATAGTTCTTTTGTTATCGCTCATATAACAAAGTGAAATAGCTCATATAACAAAGTGAAATCAATAGGTTTTATTTACAAGCTTTACGTGCAGCATTTTTTACATGGGATCGTGATAATTTCGTGATAATTAATTCAATCTCATGCCGTTGAATGCAGCGAAGGAAAGAAATATTGATTGCTAAGAGGCTCGGGGCTCAATTCCCCCCTCCCATTCAACAAAAAATCAAGACCCCCTTCCCAATTTTTTTAAAACCAACTATAAATAAATTTAAGTGGGGCACTGTAGGCACATAATAAAATGAATGTAAAATCCCCAAGGCTTTCCCTCACAAATAAAAGAGAAATATATACTTCAAGAATCGCGCTCAAATGATATAACTTACAGCAGTTTCCTTCAGTTTCTCCCAGCGAGGGGAGAGGTAATAGTCGATCCCGATACTAGCTCCAGGTAGAGTTACCCCTCGTATGAGGAGGATAGTTAGGATTATATAGGGAAAGGTCGCAGTGAAGTAGACCACCTGTTTGGAAGAAGAAACAGATGATTGCAACATGAACTGAAGACGAAGCATTCATTACAGATACATCTTTTCAATTTTCTGTTCAGTATCTGTTCAATTTTGTCTTATTCACTAGTTTTTTGGAATGTATATATATTTTTTTTTTTTGTATTTCAAAGGGCCCCAATGAAAACCAGTGTACATGCTGGCCGGGCTACACTTTTTTAAATATGTGAAATAAATAAATTAATAAATACAAATCTTTCAATATTCATTACCGTTTCGTTGTTACTTCTCTTAAATATAGTTTGGGTGCTGAAACATTTGCGTCTTTTAAAGTCGTTTAAATAAAAAGGAAAATAGGTTATGCAATTCTTCTTGCATATTATAGTCGTGAGAATTACACCCGTTTCGGCAATGATTTTCCTTACCTTTCCGGAGCTCTTCACGCTCTTGCAGATGCAGCAGAAGATGACGATCCAGGAGAAAAGCAGACACATCACCAGTTCCCACTTCATGGATCCCATGTCGTCCAGGTTGTGACCGTCTACATCCAATACGTAGTTACTGAAGGTAACAAAAGAAGGAGGTATTATTAATATCGAAATGTAATCCCACCGCTGCCACCAGTTTTAAGACACACTAAAATGCAGTCGTGCATGTTTCAAGACTTGAGGTGCACTGACTTGTAATTTCAGTTTAATACATCTTCCAAGATGGCTGTCAAGATGGCCGACATGTTTACGATATAAGTTTGATATTTAACTTATTTTGTAGGTTTATTTTTATACATATAAATAGATACAAAACGCAAAAAAAATAATGAAGAAAAGAAGATTCTTGCTTCAAATCTAAAAGCTTTATTATTGTATTAGGCCACATATTTTCGATGTACATTACGTCTTTATCAAGTCATTAAAGTCACGCACACATATACACACACAAACACACACACACACACACACACACACATATACATATATATATATATATATATATATATATATGTATATCTATATATGTATAATGTATGTATGTATATGTTACTGTAGCTTGCCGGCAAAGACGTCATTCTTTTGTTGGACAGAGTTGAGCTTATCGCGCTAAATCCCTTGCTCCAGTGGTCGTAATTAGTGTACGAAAGTAACTTAACTATCAAGATTTAACAAACCTTCGTCGAATGGATAATTGACTTCTCGCATTCTAATCAGAAATAAGCCCAACTGCATTCTGCACGACAAATTGCAGTTGTGGTTGCTCATTGTCTGTCTTATTTTCGTTCATTCACTCACTCACTCACTCACTCTCTCTCTCTCTCTCTCTCTCTCACTCTCTCTCTCTCTCTCTCTCTTTGAAGAAGATAAACGGTCCCCCTCGTGTACGTACTAGTAAAACTCCTGGGCCGGTCGCTTAGTGATGTTCAATCCCATCTCCATAGCAACAGATGAGTTCTCCTGACACGCGTCCGTGTTCCACGTGTTGTTGCATGTTTTCCAAGGGACTTCCGATGTGAAGGAACGCACGAAGAAGAGCGCGGTCCACGCCATGATGATGTTGTAGTAGATGGCCACCATGCCGGAGATCATCACCATGGCCCATCCGATACCTGCCATACGTAACAATAAGAAAGGAAAAAGAGAAAAAAAAGTATTGAATTTTAGGCTGAACCCGTTCAAATCCCGCTGGTTCCGAAACTTTTTTCTGACTTGTGTTTAATTACAAGATCGAGCACGCGATCTTTATTTACTGGGTGCAAGCAGAAATTTCCTTACAAATTGAAATCACTGGATGAACACTTGCTCCTGTGCCAATCGCTCCGCGTCAGTTTCCTGAACTTGAACCCTGAAACTAACACTATATCTTACCCTAACCCTAAATATAACCTATAACTCAATCGCAACCCTAAAAATAACACCGCACCTTTGACGAATAAGAAACCAGTAGCAGTTGTCGCGGAAGAAATGTTGGGTCACTTAAGAAATCACGTCTGTCAAGAGTAAATTTATTAAAAGCACCGATAGAGTACTATATTCTTTATCTCATATCCCACCAATAATAGAGTCGACCATTATTTATGAAAAACGAAACAAAACAAAACAACATCCAACGTTTAGTGACTTTCTTCATTGATTGGAAATACCTAAAGCTTAATGACGTTCACAGCGTATTTATGAATTTTAATAAATTTAATTATGAAGACATCAAACACCATCCTTTTTGTAAAGGTAAAGACCAGTTATGGTCATGCGATTGCATTGTGAAAGAAACGTTGTGGAATCGATCAGAAAAGGTTGATCATCTAGCATCTAGCATCTGCAAGGTTCTGGAATCATCAAAATGATAAGAAATTTGGCCCATTCTTCGTAAAGTTACAAGCACTGTACACAGAAAGATGTATATGGGACTACCCTATATCTCTCACAGACCATGAGAGAAACAAATTTACCAAATATATGAATTAGTAGGCGGTTTCCTGGCAAATTTTTTATCATCATGTATTAGTCAAAACATATTCTTTCACATGATTGGTAATGAGAGCTTCCATTTCATTTTTTGAAATTGAGGCGTTTCCAATACTGGTCTTTACCTTTAAGGAAGGACGCTGATATAAAAATGCTATACGGACGAAATAAGTATTTAAAATACTAATTTCATAAATATTACATTGTTTAATGCTATAATGACGCGATGGATAATTTAAAATAGTAAAAGTTTCATAAATGGGCAGGAGAAACACAAAATGTTCCAGAAAGAATGTAATTGAAATCAAAATCAAAATTACCGGTAATAAAAGGTTCGGCGGATCTTTGCGGGAACACTTTGTATATAGCCATGACCCTTCATCACCCTTCCAGCTTATCATTTTTTGGATTGGCCCCTGTTAAGCTACTCGCCACAAAATTCATATAAATATATAATAAAACACATCTCCGAGATGAATGAGCCCATTTCTACTAGGCGCTGTTAAGCTTGTTCGCGTGAGAATAGTGATTGAAAAAGGGAGAGAAGAGGCTGAAGAGCAACAAATAAATTGTTTAAATCCCTTCCTGCTCCGAATCAAGTAGTAAAAGCTTTTTCATGAATTTTAATGACAAGAGAATACTGGTGGGTATGTCGTTGACGGTACAGTGGCGTAGCCATGGGGGTGGCCCGTATGCCCCTAATCATACTTACGGGGAAGTGGGAAACATGCCCCGAAGAACGGAGGAAGGGAGAAGGAGAGAAAAGGGGAATCAGGCATATTTCATTTCATTTCATTTCATTTCATTTATTTATTTAAACACGGTAACTCTCTCAAGCTAAACGGTTGTTTTTCAGAAAGTCCGTGTTGAATACACTTTTCTCCGCACGATCGCTACTTTCACTCGCATATCATCTAGTTACACCCGCGCAGGCGCGGATCTACGGGGGGGGGGGGGGTTTAGGGGGTTTAAACCCCCCCTTGGGCGGCCCAAAAAAACAAACAAAAAAAAAGGGGGGAAAAAAAGGAAAAAAAAGAAGAAAAAAAAGAAAGAAAAAAGAACGCACGCTGGAGAGAAACCCTTTCAAGTGCAAATATTGTGAGAAGATATTCAACTCATCTGGTAACTTAACCAAACACATGATAACTCTGGATATAACTGTGTATTTAACTGTTACTTGATTTAAAAAGACGTTATCATGCACTGCTTTTTATGGTCTCCATTGTGTTAATAGATGCCAGGAAAACATCACTTACGGGGTTCAAATAAACCCCCCCCAAAAAAAAAATCGGATCGCCGCTTCGTGGCTCGTGGACGATGCTCCGCATCGTCATTATTTTGGTCACCCCCCCCCTTAGCAAAAAGCTAGATCCGCCCCTGCCATTGTGTTAATAGATGCCAGGAAAACATCACTTACGGGGTTCAAATAAACCCCCCCAAAAAAAAATCGGCTCGCCGCTTCGCGGCTCGTGGACGATGCTCCGCATCGTCATTATTTTGGTCAACCCCCCCCTTAGCAAAAAGCTAGATCCGCCCCTGCCGCGCTACCCCTTTCACCTACGCCCCCAGCCCCCCCCCCCCCCACCACCACTCTCTCTTTCTCTCTCTCCCACCCCTCAAGGACTTGATAAAAACTCCGCCTCTAGTTCGTTGTAGCATAACCGTTTGTGTGCTCCACCCCTTTGTGATTTATTGGAGTAGGAAGCAGACGACGACCATTTAGATGGAAATTGCTTATTTTAATGGTAGTTTTATGTTGATGCTAATAAAATTCGCTTCTGCCTTTGGTGGATTCTTGAATAATTTATTTTAACTAATACCTGTGATTCTTATTTATTTGAGCGTCATATTTGCCAGGATCCTATATCCGAGGGAAAACAAAGATCGAAATATCCTTTCTGGGATTTCTTCTCCTTCAAGGGGTCAATGTAAGTTCCTAGATAGGCTTGACATACATTTAGGCTCCACACAAAAACGAAGGTTTTATTTCACAATTGAAGAAATCCAAGATACAAATTTGATTGTGTCATCAGAAGATTGCTTTTAAAGCCCCACTGTACTTCTTGTAGCTACTTACGCCCCCTATATAGCAAACAATGCATATTCGGTGCGTGTTGGTCCCCCATGATCCCCCTTTTCTTATGTTAACTGAGACCTGATTTGATGAGATAACCACCTGTCAGTGACCTTGCATGGAGGTCTAATCCCCCTGGCCAAACTAGTACAGACGGGCTTTAAATAACAAGCGATGTGTCTGATTTGCAATTGTTTGTTTCTGTTTCATAGCATTTGATAGTCTATACTCTCTCTCTCTTTAATATACAAATCCTTCATCTGTCCTCTGAAAGTTCCAAGAGTTGTTTTGACACTTGGACCTGAATGACCCTGGTGTTGCCCTGTAAATCACTTAACTCTGATTCAGCAGTACAGCACGGGAAGTTATCAATTTGTTCTCTACACCTCGCATGTTCCGGTCTCATACAAACCGAACCTATTCCTCTAATGCAAGTGCATCTAAGGGGAGGGTGGGGGGGGGGGGGGGGGAGGGGGGAGGGGGAGGGGGGAGGGGGAGGGAGGGGGGAGGGGGAGGGGGGAGGGGGAGGGGGGGGGGGAGGGGGAGGGGGAGGGGGGGCGGGGTATTGTACTTTAAGTTACTGCCTGCACGGCAAAGAATTACAGGGATACCCAGACGTTGTGTCTGTCCGGACAGCAAGTGTATCTACACAGTCGATTTAAAACGGCAATTTGAAAAAGTTTACAACCAATTATTAATTAATCTTCTAAGATTTATGTAGGACAATATCACACAAGACAGTTCTTCCTGATGGTTAGAGGACAGAAGTATTTGATGAATATTTTCCCGTTAAAATCCGAAAAGAGAAGTCTTTATGTGAGTCCAGACACCCAACCCCATCATAATATAGTATTTGAGACTTTAAAGGAGCTATGGCGCGAATTTAAAGGCACTTAGACATGTATGCACGTTCCACATGAAGCGTCATTAGGGACTTTCAGATCCCTTTTAAGGCAATGTGACGTCCTTTTAAGGCACTGGCAGTGACGTCACATTGCCTTAAAAGAGCAGTCCACGTTCTCGTCGTGCAGACTTTAAAAGTCCCTATTATCTGACGTAGCACTGCGTCAACAACTGACGTGGTCTTTGACGCGTCTTGCTAATGACATTGATATTACTATAGTACAAAAAGTGAATGCACACTGAATAGTGCACATATAAATGCGTCGAATTACTGGCTTATGTAATATGCATGTGCCTTGATAAATCTGATACGCGTAGGTATTTATAGCGTTCGTTCTCTTAACACGACGGAAGAGCTATATCCCGTCGTCTTTGCTTCCGTCGTCTTTGCGAAAGCGCTCTACTAACGCATTTGAAACAACGGGCAACGGACACCAAGGTAATCAAGATAAAACAACATCAGTCAAAGAATTTCATTAAAAGGTAGAACATTGAATTATTGAAGGCTGTCTTTCTCAGGACGTGTTTGCCTTACTCAAAAGACAAAGACAATTCCGGCAAATTTCATAATTTGCACACAAATTATGTAGCATAGGTTTTCACCGTCTTTGGATGCTAACGAGATAACATTTGTGCAATGGAAATGTGAGAATTACAGCTTAATTATACAAGTGCCAGCTTCAACATCCATTAAATATTGCATCTATTTTTTTTATCAAAAGGTCACTGGCTTTTAAAATCCTTTACATTATTCGTCCTCACTTCATTATAAGAATCAATAGCATCGTAAGCACTCAATCCCATCATCTCTCCTCATGAATAGATGCCAGCCCGGAGGAGACTGATCCACACGCTTTTCAATCGACCATTTTTCAAACCCGAAACGGGGTCGATTAACTACCAGTCGTGATGTTTTACTTGCTCAACAACAAAAAATATATACATACTCTTCCCGCTATAGATGTCATTTGAAATGTTGTGATACTGCAATTCATTTCTCAATAAAATATCATATCACTATCAGAGTTCTGTTCTATACTGAGAATTTTCTTTCAACTCTTAATCTCGTTTCGAACGAGAAGCGTAAGAAGAACTCATCTAAAAATGAACTTGACAAAAACAAAGTCAAAGACAAGCCATTTTCATAAATTTATCATCTAGTATTGAATGATAAGCGACGTGATTTGGAAAAATTTACACTCATTCATCTAAAAAATTAAACCAACAAAACACAAAAACAATAACAACAGATCGGAAACTGATTTGCCTAAGTATGACATGACACAATCTAGGCATAAATTACAACAGTATTAGACATTTAAAACAAATATCGTACACTAAACGAATTTCTTATGAACCCCAGACCTAACCAGAAACCCAATCGCAACCCTAACTCTAATCCTAGATTTTTGTTAAATGCCCGAGGCAATCGTAGGAGCAAAGGTCGGGTGACACAAAAAGAAAATATATTCCGCTTAATAACACAATTTCCATCATTTTGAACATAAACAGAACTAAAGATGAATTACTATAAAACCATTTACAAATTAATTATTTTAAAAAAGAAAACATAAATATTCCATAAGTTCCAAAAAGTATATCAACGAACAGCAATTTGTTGTATCATCTTCTAGAATAAAGTTACTGCTCTGCTTCGGGGACTTCGGGGACGACGGGGAGGGGTACGGGTAGAGGTTCGGGGACAGGTTCGGGGGAGATTCGGATCAATTCGGCACTAACTAGACATCTTAAAGGTAGAAAGTGGACTCACCTGCAAATAGTGGACATGCCTTCCAGATGGTGATCGGACCTTCCCCTCCATACTGACCGAAGGCCAGCTCCAGGAACATCAGTGGCATACCGGCCAGGAACAGCATGATGAAATAGGGGATGAGGAATACCCCTAGGGAGAAAAAGAAGAGACAAAAAGAGACATAAGGTGACGCAAAATTCATGCTAAGACATTGAAATATTAAAGCCTGTCTGCACTAGTTGGCCAGGAGGGATTAGACCTCCCTGCATTAGTGCATAGTCATCAAATCAGCCCTCAATTAACATACGAAAAAGGACATCATGGGGGACAAACGGGTATCGCTTTAATATGCATTGTTTTCTATATTGTATAGAGGGTACATGCAGGTACAAGTAGTGCAGTCCCCCTTTAAAGGCTTTTGACAATTCATCTGCTTATAGAACCAGAAATTAATTAAAGGCGTTAATCGTATATCATTGTACAACGAGTTAACGCCCTTCTGGCGTATAAATTGGTAAACCGCAAACCATTATATTCAGATTTGTTTTCTTCAATCTAATAAGCAAGAAATCTATCGTATTATTTAAGTGTCTTTCTCGGCAAGGAAATGAAATGTCATTCATATCGTGCCATAAACGCGACGAAGATTATATTAGTTGTTTTTAAATATATATAATCAACGACTAGTTTTAATACTTAAACATTGTATTTGAAGTACAAAATTAATAAATTATGTCTAATTGAGAAGTTGTTTTATTAGGCAGACGGAGAGGGGTAAGGGGCACAGTCGGCCCGTGCCCAACCTCTTTTTATCATTTTGTTTTAAACTGTTAATATAAAGTCCTAGATCTGCCACTGCTTCTCGGGTTCAATTTTATTGCCCCAATTCTTTGACCCTTATTTCACCCTACATGTTGGCCTTTACATTAAAGATTAATTAACACTCTGAAATGACCAACTGACAAAAAGAAGATGAAAGTCCCATATAATGTCACAATTCAGGAAATCCACCGAGATTTATGGCATGATAAAAGTTGAACTTGTGTCATAAAATACTAGTGGCGCAGCGGCGGGGGCACGGGGGCATGTTCCTCCTCCTCCTCATCCCCCAATGAATGACAACTATGAGGAGAGGAGAAAAAGAGATTTGAAAAAGAAGAAGGAAAATGGAAACCTGAAAAGAAGATACAGGTACAACCCCTTCATACCGTATCCGGATACCTATCCCCTGGACATCCACCCCCGGATACCCCCCCCCCCCAAGTCAACTACCCCCTAGGAAAACTACCCCCTTAGGGCAACCACTCTCTAGGACGACTACTCCCGGGACAACTACCCCCGGGACAACTACCCCCTAGGATAACTACCCCATGACAACTACCCCCTAGGACAACTAACCCCGGACAACTACGCCCTAGGACAACTAGTTGTCCGGGGCGTAGGTGTCCTAGGGGGTAGTTGCTTGGGGTGGTTATCCGGGGGTGGATGTCCATGAGGTAGGTGTCCTAGAACCCCTTCATACATCCTCCTCCTAATCAATGACCTCTTGTATTTGCATTCCATGAATCGAGTTAGATCAGCGCCCCCTAATAATGCGGATATGCTCTGTGTGTGTTTTTTAAAACCATGCTACGCCACTGCGATGCTTTCTACAGCATAAAATAAGTTATCAGCTTCAGTTTTCAGTTAAAGGTAAAGACCAGTTATGGTCATGCGATTGCATTGTGAAAGAAACGTTGTGGAATCGATCAGAAAAGGTTGATCATCTAGCATCTAGCATCTGCAAGGTTCTGGAATCATCAAAATGATAAGAAATTTGGCCCATTCTTCGTAAAGTTACAAGCACTATACACAGAAAGATGTATATGGGACTACCCTATATCTCTCACAGACCATGAGAGAAACAATTTTACCAAATATATGAATTATTAGGCGGTTTCCCGGCAAATTTTTTATCATCATGTATTAGTCAAAACATATTCTTTCACATGATTGGTAATGAGAGCTTCCATTTCATTTTTTGAAATTGGGGCGTTTCCAATACTGGTCTTTACCTTTAACGAGAAGTCGAATATATTTATTTGGATGTAGTTAAATATGACGAAACCTAATAAAAAGCAATGCTTGTAAAGAATAGGTTCCGTTAAATGAGGTTATCTGGAGTATCATCAATAAATCTTGTACAGGAAAAACCCGGGGCAATTATCATATCCGGAAGTCTACCTCACGTCTACAGGCAAAATATCGATGATAAAAGGCAATAAATGTACTGTGGTACCTTGAAAAGTTTAAAGAGAATAAACGTTTCTTCTTTTGCTCTATTTCCCAGCTCGGAAGAAGAAAAAAATATAATTGAATGAATGAATGAATCCTGAAAGGGATTGCTTTTTGAAAAGAAGTTGAAATTGTCTATTTTAAAAATAACCACCACGGACCCAATGTGAGTAAATTTATCTCTCAAATCTAACAACTTCAGCTACATAAAATTATCATGTTTTGTGTTGTCCCATGTGTCAACATTTTGAGTGCAATATCAAACAATACTTCACTTGGTATTTTTTATTTACAAATTCCGACTGGTAAAAAAGCTTTTAAAAAATTGTACGTGATTCAAAATGCAATCAAAATTCAAGAATAGTCTCTAGATACTTCATTATAAGCGATTGTATGACAAATACCAGTACACGTGAGTTTTACCAGGGAGATCTCCCTGGTTGAACTGTTAATTGGGGTCGACCGATGGTCATGAAGATCCATAAAAATTATCAGTAGCATCAAATGACTATTGAAAAATACAAAATGGAACTATAAATCGCCCGGTATGCTCGGCTTAAGAGCGTGAGAAGGATTATTTGTCGACCCCCCCCCCCCCCACCATTTCTCATTGTTAAATAAATCTAAGGTAGGAAGTCTATTTGTCCTGTACGTTATCGACAAAGTTAAATATTTCGTGTACCTGATAACCTGATAATAATTGCATGAGGTTAATATCACTAGAGCTGGAGTAAGACCAAAATATCAAGGAAAATTATTATGCAAATAGACTTAAGTGGAGGCCGAATTTCAGTCGGTTTTATTTATATTTTTAATAATATATATTTGTAATACGGGTCAATAAATTAGAATCTGAATCTGATTCTGAAATGATACCCTTTCAGTACAAGACTTATTTCTAAGGCTAAATTAATCACATGTTATTTTTCTTTTATTGCTAAATTGTTGAAATCAAAGGAATATCCATGAAGACGAAATAAATGGGCGCAAATATTGTCGGAAAGTTGAAAAAGTGGCCCATTTTGATCATCAGAAAAGAGAAGAAGATCTGGAATCTCTCAACGTGTTGCCAATCTAGGGATTTTTAAAGATTACTTTCCTTTTTTTTTTAAAGTCCTTGGCATCAAAATTTAATGCAAAATAGTCATGACACAAAAAGTGAAAGCGGGGTGTGCAGAAGAAATGTTTGCCCTTTCCGAAGCTCATGCATCTGGGGGTGTTTCATAAAGATGTTCGTAAGTTACGCACGACTTTACGCACGACTTTACGCACGACTGGAACATGTTCTTCGGTGCTAATCAGATTCTCAATCAATTACATGTAGCACAAGAACTTATCACCAGTCGTGCGTAAAGTCGTGCGTAACTTACGAACAGCTTTATGAAACACCCCCAGGCCTATTTTTTAAGGCTCTGAATCGTAAGTTATTGAGCCGAGCCAAACCCCAAAACGCGAAAGGGTTCATGTTCACCATTACAATATATACTGTGTAAACTAGATGGAACTTCGACTGCGCGCAGTCGAAAATGATGCCTCCGTCATGAAGCAATTTTACAAACCAAAACAGAAGTAATTTTTTTAATTCAAGTTGAATTGTAATCCATTAACAGGTTCTCAGAATGTCGTGATTACAAGCAATTTCTCATATACATATATGACCAGGGGGTGTTTCACAAAGATCCTAAGTAGAACTTAACACTAAGTTGGACTTAAAAATTATAGACAGCCATTGGAGCCTTAAAATAAAATATATTCAAAAGCAGAAATTCAAGTATTTTAGATTTTTTTAAATAAATTCCACATCAAATGCATGAAGTTTCCTTGATGATAGAAAATATGAATGATTTGAATCTACATTTTATGCCTTTCAAAATAACTTTTACAAAATATTTTCAAAGATGCTAACGGCTTTCCATTTAAGTCCAACTTAGAGATAAGTTCCATTGAATTGGTACCTATGATACTCCTCAATTATTTGCTATTTCATCATTATCATTTCAATCAGCATTTCCCTCTTTCAAATTTACAAGCTACATTACATAGCTGTTACTGGCCTGTGTATACAATATATACGCATACAACAATGATCTTTATGATGTCTTTAACGTGACATATCTTCTTCTCCCCTTGCAAACGAGAAAGAAAACAAGGTCATTAACAGGGATTAAGCGACAAATAATGATTGTGATTCAAATTGATGCGAATATTTGTTTGAATAAGCACTGCTATTCACCCGAATCTTCTTTGTAAAAACAACTTTTACAAATCTCAGCCATGCTTACTGAGTTGAGACGTTCCTTTCAATGTAAAATACTCATTAAAGAATATACTTCTCCTAATTTGAAAGTGATCTTACAACACAGTGGCAGATTTGCATGGCTGAGATTTGTAAAAGTCAGGACACCAAACGACTACAGTGTACATTACCTGGACTTGCCCGACTTAATCACAGTTGAATTGGCTGTAAAAACCATAAAAATCATTAAATCATCCAAATAATTGTTTTTAAGTCACCAAAAAAGGACATAAAATCGTTCATGTGACCCGGCAGTAGAGCGCAAACACAAATTTAGGTAAGACAATCTTCTTCCTTTTCTTAATATTTTTTTTTAAAAGAGCTTTGGAATTTGTCTTACCTCCTCCGTGGGTATAGCACAGGTAGGGAAAGCGCCAGATGTTGCCGAGCCCGACGGCATAGCCGATACAGACCAGCAGGAAATCCAACTTCTTCCCCCACCCCTCTCGGTCGGGTGCGGTCTTCGAATCGAGGGGTTTGACCGCGAGGTCTTTACCGCCGCCGCCCCCGATGGCATCGTCCACTCCGCCTCCCGGCACCACCTTGTAGTCACCCTGGAAGACAATTTAAAAACAAAGGAGACATGGTATTGGTTATCATCCACCACGATCTCGAAAAAAAGGAAAAAGTTGAACACGAGATGAAGGAGGGAAATTCTGGTCAATGTTAATTTTTAAATCCCGTCTGCACTAGTTTGGTCAGGGGGATTAGACCACACAGCGAGGTCACTGACAGTGGGCTATCTCATTAACTCAGCTCTCAACTAACGTAAGAAAAAGAGGATCATGGGGGACCAACAGGCACCGATTGGGGAAGTTTTCTATATAGAGGGACTCTAGGGAGCAAGTAGCTACAAGTATGACAGTGGGGCTTTAAACAAAAGCGACTTGGTATCATCCGCGATCTCGAAAAAGAGAATGGTTGATTATAACATGGAGGGGCGAAATGTTAATTTTTAAGTCCCGTCTGCACTAGTTTGGCCAGGGGGTATTAGACCTCCCTGCAAGGTCACTGACAGGTGGTTATCTCATCAAATCAGCCCTCAATTAACAGAAAGAAAAAGGGATCATGGGGGACCAACAGGCACCGATAAGCCATTGTTTGATGTATAGAGGGCGCAAGTAACTATAAGTAGAGCAGTGGGGCTTAAAGGTATTACAAAGTTTTGGGAAATTTTGAAAATTGGCTGGATAGTGATTCTTTACAATGTTGATATATTTGGATGCCCCTATGGATGTATTATAAGCACTAAAAAAATTGGCCCCTAAAACACTTCTGCTTTCGAGAAAAATTGAATATAAAAATTTACCGGTGCTCCCGGTAAATTTTGATAAATTTCAAATAGCGCCTTCGGCCAATACGATGGTAGCTGCGACCATGAAAATCTCAGAATATGCAGTTGTGATATATATATTCCAAATGGTAATAGCAAATTTTTATAGCTAAATCAATATCTAGACCTTGAGAGGGCGCTATACAACATAAAGAGTTTATTATTTACAATTTATTTACAATTTCATCACTTTAGACTCGATTTCAACTGCGACAACGATTACTGAATATTGTAGGATCGATATGCTTCCAATATGTTCATTAGAACCAAATTCATGACCCCATACCAAAACTTTGTATTACCTTTAAAGTGCAAGAATTCATATCCCGTCAATCAGTAGTTGAAATATTGAAATCTTTATTTAACAAAATTATATTTTGGGGTGGGGTTATTTCTAAGTATCAGTTATTATCAACATATCATTCTTTACCGCACTCTTTTTCGCAGAGATACGTTTGAATTTGTTGTGTCTAATATCATCAGCGTTAAGTTTGTTTTGTTCACCGAAAAACTCTTGATCTCATAAATTGAAATGATCGATTCAGCCGTTCTACACAAAAAAAAAAGGGGGGGGTGGTAATTCAATATCACCTTACTTTTAAACTAACCTTTTCACTCATGGCGGAGATTGCCTCGCTTGATGTTAAAACTTGTGATGGAAGGTATTGGTCTTCAAGCTTTATTGTTCTGAAATGACAAAAAAACAGAAATAGACATACATTATCCTGATCATTAAGTATATACAGCCAAACCAATTTTAGTGACCACCTGTCTATAAAGACCACCTGTCTACGAAAACAGCATTTTTTGTTTCCCTTGAAAATGGTTTTGTCATTGAATCATGTATTAAAGGAACCTGTCTACAGAGACCTCTTTTTGTGTTTCCCTTGGGCGGTCGCTATAGACAGGTTTGACTGTACAATGTATTTCGGAACCATTGCTCCCATTTCTTTCTCTCCATCACAAACATCTCTCCTACTTCTCTCTATCTCTCTTTTTTTCCATCCTTCCATCCTTCCATCCTCGAAAGGCGCAAGAATTTAGTAATTATGCCTTACCACACAGGCACCAGTTGCTAGATCGATTGCAATTAACTCATATTAAATTTAATACAAATGTTTAACCGCGTAAAACTGTCAAATTCGTTGAGAAATTTGTGTTGATGTTCTGTCTGATGATTAGAGCATATTCACGTATTTTTCTTTTCCCGTCGTCATCCCTAAACTCGAGAGGTGTCTGCGAAAAACTACTTTTAGTTACATAAATTAATATTCCGATGTACGCAAAGAACATGAAAAAATATATCTAGCGGTTGCCATGCTCACCGGATTTAACTCGTTCAAGTAATGAGTAATTACGGTTAGTAAAAACTAAATTATACAAAACCAGCTTTCCCACAGACATATTCAGATTTACTTAACACGCAATATGCACATAAGTAATTTTGCCGCTCCTTGTTATTAAGGACTCAAGGTAATTAAAAAGTATTCCCATCCTTTTTTTTTCTTCATTTGTTTTTCTTTTAGAATAAGCTGCTTCAGAGTGCGTCCGGACTGAATTATTCATATAGTCTGAATTATCCACGAATTAGTTTTTCTTCCTTCTCAAAACACTGAATGAAAAAGTAAATCAATTGAATCTGCGTGGGGCGCAAAGACACGTTTCCGCAAAAGAGGATCAGGACAAAGTTCAGAATATGATAAATGATATTAAAGATGAAGTTGGGTTCTGGAGTGCGATTGCAATCATTGCATTGTGAAAGAAACGATGTTTACAACGTATACAACCATGTAATCTCGTTATTTATTATTTATGTCAGGGGACTATTTTACTTACAAGTTTTTCAAACTTCCTTTTTAGTCTCCAATTTCTTAATTCCAATATTATAAGATTATGATTGTTTCATGTTACTTTTGTATATATATTATGTTATGGTTTTATGATTGAAATAAATGAACTGAACTGAACTGAAACGACCAGAAAAGGTTGATCATCTAGCATATAAGAATGTGTGTGTATTGCAAGGTTCTGGAATCATCAAAATGATAAGAAATTTGGCCAAGTCTTAGTAAACACTGTACACAGAAAGATGTATATGGGACTACACGAAAACGTGGCGTAAAACTCCTACCCGGATTTTCATTTTTACGATGTTACATGACATATTTCGAATATGAAGGCATTTGAAGAGCCATGCTTTTCAGGGAACATGTCTTATCTGATCATCTGATGTTCTTCCACACTTGCATAATAAGAATGATAACGCTCACAAATTATTTTTCACCTCTTCCCAGAACTCAATCTTCTCTTTAAAAGTGCATAATATCCCGACAGCTATTTCACATACAAGACGTTGGATATGTTATTAAGCACCATAGAAGGATGCACCACAGCAATTTGTCTCTGCCAATACTGAAGAGTGAAGACCGAGATTAAACTTACTCTATCTGAGCCAATCCCTTGCCGGGACCATGGCCTTTATCTTCCTGGGCTACTGCATAGACCAGAAGTCCTGCATAGCCCCTGGGCAAGCCTATCTCGACTAAATCATCCTTGGATGCCAGCCTCAGACTCCTCATCGAGTCGTACCCGTGTCTCGACAACCGGTTCCGACAGTCCTCCAGGTCGGCATTGACCAGGAGGTCTTCGACCGACTTGGAGATCTGTGGCTTGATCGAGCTGGTGATCGACGGCGCGATCGAGACGTCGGGGTATTGGGGTAGGTACGAGTCCGGTAGGGATGAGGACACGCTGATGAGGTCAGCGGCAGACAATCGTGACTTCCTCGACGGCGATACCTTGAGTCTTTCCTCGTCCTCGATATCGATGGGGATTGGGTTGACCACGCCCATGTTGTCTTCGGGGAGTTCGACATCGTCCGTATCGGTGGATACGACCACCTCCATGCTGTAGTTGATCATCGTGTCAAGCAGTCCTTAAGTATATACTGTTCTGTGGGAATTGAGATGATGATGTTACCGGCTATTTAACCCTCAGATCATCCAGCGCGACGGTTATACAGATCCAAGATCGTGATTCCTCACAAATTCTCACAGCAGTCAAGTTCCGAATGTCAACCCTCTAATCATGAAGACTTGTGGTTAAGGATGCCCTATGGGATTTCTTAGTTTCACACAGCATTGGAAAATATTGTATTTAAGTTGGCAAAATGCTAATCCTCAGATCACCCAACGATTAAAGTTCCAAGTCAGGATTCCTTAACAGGATCACACAGCAGTCGAAAAGTTACCAAACGTCAACCATCTGTTCATCAAGCTCGATGATCGGGAGGATTTCTTGCAGTTTCAAAAAGCAGTCAATAAATGGAACCTTTGACCCTCAGATCGTCCAGCAGTTAAGATATCCAAAAGACGGCAGTTCTTTACAGTTTAATACAGGGAGTCGGAATAGCGTAGCATTGAGGTTCCCTCTCCCTCTCTGTATAATATAGTTCTGTGCACCAAGATGTATTATCAGAACGAATAATATCCTCCCTTGCGAAGCACTATATCCTTCCAAGAATTCAAAGGATTCCCTTTGAACCTTTACAATTCCTAAGGGAGGTCTATAAATGGGGTTTTGAGCGGTTCAATGCAAACAGAAATGCGGGGTTGGAGGTGGACGGTTCGAGTCCTTTGTCCGTGTTCTTCCACCATGCCGAATGCAAGTAATATTCTTCAAATGGTCATCATTACTCCAGATATATAAAGAGGAGTTAAGTGGTCAATATTCCATCATCCAGCTTTATTGACGGAACATATTCCTAGACTCTTACCAGTCGCCCGCTCCCTCTAAAATCCTTCTCCCGCGCAGAGAGTGAATTTTCTGTAACACGTGTATTTTTTGTTTCATGCCCCTTTATTCTTTAATCAAGGAACACTACGGAACACGCCTTGCAATGTGTCATTTGACGATTTAATTCTCTCCCATATACGCCTTGCATGTATGGAAGATGATTCATAAATCGGTGAGCATAATTTACAAGCGTGGGTTTATTTTAAAGCGGGAAGTAATAAGTTAAAAGCGACTGTCTCGTTTGTCATCAGAGTCTACAGGCGTGCCATCCATGGTGCTTGACACGGAATAATAATAATCAATACGAAAGAGTGCTCTTCAACAAAATCTGAAATATTGGAATCATTACGTAACAACATACGGTCGATAAATACACACTAAGTGCTAAAGTATGCAATTAAATAAATACATATTTTACATGCACGTCTGTCGTACGTTCTCGAGTACACACGCACAATATTTTTAAAGTGTTTACAATTATGCAAGAAATGTGTTATGATTATCTATGATATTACAAAACAGTCCCACCTAGATGTGCAATTTTTTCAACAGCAAATTCCATTTAAATGAAGGCAAAGAATACAACTAATATATTAATAAAATAAAGTTATAAAAGCTAATATTTCGCATACATTGTGAAGGGATCAACAAAACAAATGTCACTGCCTTTTTAAAATAATGTGTAGTAATTATGTTAAGCTCAACAAGAAGACAATCAAGGTAATAATATATTTATGAATGAAAGAGTCCAACTTAATTCTCATCTAGTTGAATATCTGTATACTCTTCTGTATTATTTTATATTAATTTTGTCCTGTTGTTCTTCAGTCGTCTATTTTCATTATACAAATATTGTATGGTAATATTGACAAACTTGAATATTTCTAATGTTCATACTTGTGTACTTTTCATACATTTTAATTAATTTCATCCCAACGGCTGCTTCTTTTCTCATTTTTAAAATTAGTTTTGGTTTCGTGTCCTTTTATCAATAAACTTGATCAATTCAATCAAAAGCGTGTTCCTCTCTTTACGGGTTTGTGGGTGAATGCTCATTCCCTGCGATATATAAAGTGCTCTTGTTTCTATTTGACTCCACACTACAAAACTATTCGGATCGGATGAGCAGGATACATGTACTTCTTATGTAAAACGTATTAAGTGAGTGTATTTATTCCTTGCCAATCCGCTATACACAGGGACACTGTCTACTCGATGCTGTGTCGACTTTGTCGTCCAACGATGATTTATTCACTCAAGCTCAACTCATCGTCTGTTTAACGAAACAGTGCGAAACACATAACAATTGTGCTCACGCCTCAGCTAAATTAACACTGGCACGATAGAAATCGATACGTCACATCTGTACAATAAAATTTGGTTATTATAGACTGCGGATTTAACCGACTGTTCGAGAGGGGGGGGGGGGGGGGGGTAAAAGACCTGTACTTTGGAGCTTAAGAGGACGTGCAAACATTCCTTCCCCCTTTCAGGTACAATATTTGTCTTATTATTCCCCGTAAAACGTTTTTCATATATTTTCATATTATGAACGAAGAATGTCTTCCAATCATTCCGTACTTTGGAGTTTAAGAGGACGTGCAAACATCCCTTCCCCCTTTCAGGTGCAATATTTGTCTTGTTTCCCGTAAAACTTTTTTCATATAATTATTTGCACATTTTGCAGATTATATACGAATAATATCTTCCAATCATTCCGTGCAAACATGAAAGAAAACATGAAAAACATGTGAGCCGTGTTGGATCCGAGTTTTCTTTAAAACTTGGACCGTTTAATACTTTAATTAACTTTTTAAAATTCTAATTACTATCCCTCTCTTTCTAACTCTCCTGTCTTTCTACTCTTCCTGTGTCAATATTTCTCTGTCTCTATCATTCTAATATCTCTTTCTCCTTTTCTTTCTTCGACTACTTCTCCTTTTCATTCTTCCTTTTCTCCTTCTCTTCCACCTCTTCCATGTCTTCTTCTTCCTCCTTTCCGGTCTCCTTCCCTTTTTCTTTCTCTTTACATTTCTCCTTGGCTCTTTCTCTTTCTTTTCTCCTCCTTCCTCCACTCCTTCCAGTTTTCTTCCTCTCTTTCTCTTTTCATTATATTCTGCTCATTTATTCCTTCATCATTTATTTATTTCCTTTTCTATTTATTGTATTTATTTATTTTCTTTATTTTTTGAGGGGAGGGGTTCAATAATTCAACACGCGCAGCTGCTCAAAGCCATACAAAATACATGTGCATATTATATTCCCGCCTTATACCGTCAAACTTACATACTACAGAAGATAACATGTAGAGTCTATGGTGAAAGATCCCATCTGGCTAAATTAGTACAACAAAGCAGAACAGACCAATAAATAATCTATGTAAATGGACAGTATGTTGGTTCAATAATAATTATCCTCTTCCTTCTCTCATTATCATGATCATCATTATAATATTAATTAAAAAAGTAATAAAGTATCAGTGAAGCAGTGACATTATGTACATGACCAGATTCATGATCAGGTTTTAGCCGACCCGGTTCGAATTGGACTGACTGGTAAATATTGCTTCGTTGCGCGAATGCAAAACAAAAGAATATGATTGATATACCATTTCAAGCCCAACCGAAACTGGGACCGAAACCAAGTCGGCCAAACTCTTTGTACAGAAGATATGGCTCTGTACATCATTAATTAAGAGCGCCATCACGAGTTTGATTATAACCAGTACCCAGGGTAGCAGAGAGCGCGAAGATCTGGGATTTTGTTGTTATTCTTCTCGCTGATGTTTTGTTTAATCTTAAAAGGTAGGTTAAAAATTATTGCTTGTCACGTTGTTGATATAGCCTTGAAAAGGTACTTTGAAACGTAATGTTGATCAAGCAATCGAACTATTAAAGGGTTTTAAAGTACAAGGGCACTTCGTTAAACAACTATAATAAATTGGAGGAATGGTTTGTTGACAGTCGATAGTTCATTGAATACTAGACCATGGTTTATTGCAAATAAAATTATCCTGTGCACCTTAATCCGAACTTTGAAATCAGTGCTAATATCGGTTGGTAGATTGGATAGTATCATCTTCTAATTCTGTTCATAAATCAGGCTTAATCCTCTCTGCCAACATACACAAAATGTTTTGTATAGTGTAATAAGTTTATTCATTTTTGATCGTTTTTTTTCTCCAATAAATTTGTTTCTTTGATGTTTCTACGTAAGTAGATTCGTTTGATTGTTAAGAGTGCGACTCTAACAAAAATATGCTCTTTTCACATTCCTAAAGATAGCCCAGTGTGCCCTCTAACCTAAATCTGACATGGCGCGTTACAACATGAAATAATGGCCCATAATTTTGATTGTGACGTGTCTTTTCAAAGCTCCAGAAATACATTGCGGGGGTGCTATGAGAAACAGAATTACGATTTATTAAATGCAAGAGTATTGAAAATGAAATATTGAAAGAGCATAAATGATTAACCTTCCCATATGGTGTTTACATTTTCAGCCTTCGTATCGTTTACTGTGGGTTATATTTTTAATTCATTTATTAAAAGCTGACTATTGATGGAATCTTTCGCGAACAGATGGCCAAATTGCATTCGTTTACAATCAGAATAGACACAAATGGAATAAATGTTAATTATTACTACGAAAATGCAATATTTTGAGTATGAGGGTAGACGACAAGTCATAATCCAGGCCATCAATAAAGGCATTATCATGTTAATGAGCGCATATCAACCAATGTCCAGAGCACACCACGTGCAGCTGAAATAGCTCATAACGTGTCGGTAGCCTTCGTATCGTTTACTGTGCATGGTTGTTTTTTAAATTCATTTATTTAAAGCCGTTTATTGATGAAATCTTTCGCGAACAGATGGCCGAATTGCATTCGTTTACAATCAGAATAGACAAAAATGGAATAATATGTTAATTATTACTACGAAAATGCAATATTTTGAGTACATAATTATGAGGGTAGACGACAAGTCATAATCCAGGCCATCAATAAAGGCATATCGTGTTAATGATGCATGTACATGTAGTAGGCTAAGGCATCAGGGCCACAATATGCATAGCAACAGCTTGTGACGAATTCCAGCAAATTCAAGATTTGTAAGTAACAACACACACATTAATGTTGTAACCAAACGCCTCACTGTGAAAAGTAATGTTGTATAACTTCATAAAACGGGGTCTTCTCCGGGGAATATTTCTGAATACAGTAGACCCAAAACTGGTCAATTTTATGAACAGAACAATCGGAAATTACTTAAAAAATCTCTTTATTAATTTTCGCTCTCTTCGCGCTCTTACCTCTCCTTCGTAGCCCTCAAAACTCATTTCTCTCTCTCTCT